GAGACGCTGGAAGGAGACGCTGGAAGGAGACGCTGGAAGGAGACGCTGGAATGAGATTGATTGATTGGGGTGAATTAGTAGTAGTAGTAAAAGGAGGTGATACATGGGTAGCTAGCTATGAATGAGAGAGGGTCTCGCCAAAGGCGCGCGCGAGGCGGTCCTCAACATCAAGCATGGCGGCGCTGGCCGCGGGACGGAGGGGCGCCTCGTCGAGGAGAAAGGGCTTGGTGCGCGTCTTGCCCGCGTCGGCGCCCTGCAGCTGGATGGCGTGGTCGGCGTCGATGTCGCCGGCGGCCCAGCGTGCGGCAGCCTCCATCTGGCGCGTGCGCCGGGCGCGGTGCTGCTGCGCGAGGTGCCTGGCGAACGTGTCGACGCTTGTTGTTCCCCCTGCCTCTGTCTCGTTGGACGAGGGAGTGGAGCTGCACGTCTCGAGGACGACGTCGGCGGCCGCGGGGCTGCCGTCGAGGCGGAGCGCGCCGAGCGAGGCGAGCCAGCCAAAGAGGTCCTGCACCAGGCGCCCAGCCAGGCTCTGGCTCTGTCCCTGGCTCTGGCTCTGTCCGTGGCCGTGGCCGTCGGGCACGCGGCTCGCAAAGCGGTGCAGGACCGCATACCAGGCCGGCACGGCATCATCGAGAAAGAGGGCGAGGGTGGCGATGCTGCGCCAGGGATCCTGCACGCGCGCACGCAGGCCACCGAGGACGTCGATGAGGCTGGCGATGAAGTCTTTGAAGCCGTTGAGCAGGTCGGTGCTGCTGCCGCTGCTGCTGCTGCTGGGCGGCGTCGACTTGTGCACGCGGCGCACGACGTTGAGCAGCGGCTCAACGAGGGCCTCGATGGGCTGGCGCACGGCGGGGTCCTTGAGCGCAGCACGAAGCTTGGCACCGTCGCGCTTGGCGCTCAGCAGCCGCAGCAGGGCCTGCATATCGGTGATGAGACGCACGTCGACGTTGGCCCGCTGCTTGGCCAGCACCTCGTCGGGCGTGGGCGCCGGCCGGGTGGCGAAAAAGGCCTTGTAGGTGCGCGTGGCCGCGACGATGCGCTTGACGCCGTCCGTCGCCAGCAGCGGCTTGTCGGAGCCGCGGGCGATGGCGCAGACGAGGGGAATGTCGGCGCGCCGGGCGGCATCGCGGATCAGGCGCTTCTTGTGGTCGCTGCACTCCCACACAAAGTCGTGCAGCTTGCGGCTCAGCGCCGAGCCGAGCCGGCGCTTCAGCTCGGCCACCTGGCGCTCGTAGTCTTGCGTGGCCGTGGCGCTGCTCCCGCTCGGGTCCTCGCCGACAACGAGTGCGACGAGACGGTCGACGACCGAGGGCTTTGTCATGGCTGCGCGCACCTTGGCAATCATGAGGCCCGTCGGCTCGCGCAGGGCCAGCGCCAGCATCTTCCAGGGCACGGCCGCGTAGCCGTCCTGCAGCCGGGCAAAGTTGGCCGAGCTCGTGGCCTGGGCCTGGTTGACAAAGACGCCGTGCAGGGCATAGGCCAGGCGCAGGTTGGCCCAGGACACGGCGCGCTGGTACGGCAGCGGCAGCGCGCCAAATGTGGCTGCGCTCCGCAGCGCCTCGTGCGCCTTGGGGAAGCCGTCGCCGCCGCTGCCGCCGCCGCTGCCACCAAGACAGGCCTGGCCCAGCGCCTCGAGCTCGTCGCGCAGGTCCAGCACGTCCTCGGCGGCCGACCGGGCGGCGTCGGCACGCAGGGCAATGTTGTCACGGTCGAGACGGGCGCGTGCGTCCATGTCGAGGCGCGTTGCGTGGCGCATCTCGCGCTCGCCAAAGGCAGCGACACCGAGGAAATGGCGGCCCTCGTCGCTGTGGCCGGCGCCACGGATCGAGAGGGCGTCGCGGAGCCAGGCACGCAGCTGCTTGCGCCGCGACTCGATGTCCGTCTCGCTGCCCGCCGTCTCGTCTGTCCCCGCCGCGGGTGCTGCTGCGCCCTGCTTGGTGCTCGTCGAGGCGAGCGACGAGGAGCTGCGGTTGTTGGAAAAGAAGCGGCTTGCCCCCCTCTTTTCGTCGCCATCGACGTCGGCCTTGGGCGACCGGAGGAGGCCAAAGCTGTTGCGCTTGGCCGAGGGCGAGGGCGCCGCTGCCGTCGAGGCCATCGAGACCTGGCTCGTGTTGGCGCCCGAGGCCAGTCTGCGGAAGCCGTCGCCCTTGGCCGAGGACAGCGAGCCCGAGGCTGGAAGCGAGACGGGGACCGAGGCGGAGCGAGACGTGCCACCAGCGGTACCGTCGCCCGTGTTGAGCGACGACGACGAGAGGTTTCGCTTCGTCGATCCACCGTACACCGACGACGGCTGCGTCTCGAGGGCGCCGCTGGCCGTGGGTCCCGGGACGGCGCGCACACGCCTTCGCGGGCCCAGCTCGGTGGCGAGGCCCTTTGCCAGCTTGACAAAGTCGCCCTCGGTGCGCACGACAAACGACGGCGGGTGGCCGTAGCGCCGGACGGCGATGAGAAACTCGTCGGCGATGCCGCCGCTGCCCTGCCTCGCGCGAGCACCGACAATGTCGACCTCCATGCCGCCCTGGCGGAGTTTGTTGGCCGGCAGCCGGTGGCCCATGTAGGCAGCCAGCGGCGGCGGCTCGACGCTGCTCCAGGCCCAGCCTGCGAGCGCGAGTGGTGGCTCGCCCTCGCGGCTCGGCGGCTGTCGCTCGAGGCTCGAGACGAGGAAGCGGGCGACGACGGAAAGTAGCGCGCCCTTAAGGGCCGAGGACATCGTCTGCGTCTGGGCGTGGTATGCGTGTGGCCGCCGATCCATCTCGTCGCTGAGCGAGAGCGCCTGCAGGTGTCTGGCGAGCGGTAAGAGACCCTCGTCGATGAACTTGCGCGCGCCAGCCGCGCGGGAGCGCGCAGCGGCGGCACCCTCGATGGGCACCGCGGGGCCAAAGAGGGGGCAGCTGAGCATCGCCCGGGCCAGCGGCCGCACGAGGGCGGTGCGTGGCAGGTAGGGCGCGCGCCGGTGCGGGTCCAGCTTGAAGCAGGCGAGGTCGCACTTGGCCAGCCCTGCCGGGTCGGCGGGCTGCCACGCCTCGTCGAGGCTGGCCAGCATCCAGAGGCGCTCCAGCTCGTGGCGCAGCTCGACATCGACGAGGCGGCGCAGGAGGTAGTGGCGCAGCTGGGGCCCATTGGCGACGCTGCTGCTGCTAGTCAGCGCGGGAATGGTCTTCTTGCGCTGCTGCGTCGGGCTGCTGCTACTCTTGCGCTGGCTCGGGCTGCCACTCTTGCGCTGGCTCGGACTCGTACTCTTGCGCTGCTCCGGACTGGCAGCACTCTGCGCACTTGCCTCCTGCCTGGATGGCCTCGCCGTCGCCGTCGCCGCGGCAGCAGACGGCGTGCTGCTGTTGTCAAAGTACGAGCTCTGGCCCGGGTCAGGCGCCGTGGCCTTGGGCGTCGCCGTGGGCGTCGGCTGGTCTTCGTCGTCGTCGTCGTCTCCTCTGTCGCCAGGCGGCTGCAGCTGGAGAGAGGCCGTCTCCGAGGCCTGGCGCGACAGGGCGTCCTTGAACGAGGACGCCGTCGAGGGCTGCTGCGACTCGTGTCCCGACAGCTGCCACGGCGACGACGGGACAGACTGCTGCTCGTCCTGCAGCGCATTCAGCGCAGTCCCTTGCTCTTCATCGTCGTCGTCGTCGTCGCCGCCGTCAATATCAAAGCCGCCCTCGACGAAGCTGAGCTCGGAGCGGTCGGCGATGCTCTCGTCGTCGACCAGGCTCGGCTCAACGGAGTGGATGCGCCCGTGCTGGGGCCGCTCCTCGTCCTGCACCATCAGCGGCACCCGCTCGATGCCGACGTCGCGCAGCGTGAGCGGGTCCCTGGCCACGTCGACGCCGGCCGCGCCTGCCGCAGACGGACCGGCGGGCGGCAGCTCCGTCGCCGGCGACTGCGTCTTCATCGTCGTAAAGATGTCGCCCGTGCTCGCCTCGGGCACCACGGCCGCCGTGACGACGACGGGCCGGGCCGAAGAGGGCGCAGAGGAGGGCGAGGTGGTGGCGGCGGCGGCGGCAGCCTCGGCGGCGCGGGCCTCTTTGCGGCTGATGCGCATCAGCCGGCTCAGGATGCCGCCGCCCTGCTTTGTGGTCCGGGTCCTGCTCAGGCCCCGCTGGAGCGGAGGCGCCGTCGTCGCTGGTGCCCCGGCAAGAGGGGCTGCTGCTGCGGCGGCGGCGGCGGCTGGGTCAGCTGCAGTGCCTTCATCCCGCGCCTCAGCTCTGGGAAAGGCAGGCTCGGCGCTCTCCAGTGCCTCTCGGGCGCCGAGCACGATGGGGTCCTGCGCCTTCCACGCCTCGTCGTAGTGCGACTCGGCATCGTCGTCGTCATCGCCACCGTGGCGTCCCGAAAAAAGAGAGTCGTCGTCGTCGTCAGGGGCCGGCGAGCTGAACCACGAATTCGAAGCGGCAACCGCAATCGCCATGGCTTCCTGGTCGTTGAGCAGCTCCTCGTCGATGTCGTCGTGGGCAAACGACGCGGGCGAGGCTGCCGACGACGAGGCTGCTGATGTCGAGCCTGCTGACAGCGACGGCATTGATGGCGAGGCTGCGGAGAGAGGCGGCGGCAGCGACGGCGGCGGCGGCGGCGGCGACTTGAAAGACTTCGACGATGCGGCAGTCGACAACGACGACGACGGCGGCGACGCGTACAGGCTCGCCGCGGCCGCGTGGGGGTCCATGGCCGGCTGCTGGCGCTTCTTGGCCAGCGACAGGCGAAAGGGGCCCTTTGACGCCGTCCGCTGCTCGCCCATGGTTGTCGAGTGAGATGCTGGAGCGCTCGCTGCTCGCTGCTCGCTTCGAGATAACTACAGTACAGTACTTTTTAGAGGGCGTCTGAGTTCCAAAGCGGGGCCTCTCCGCATGCGCTCACTCGCTCGCACGCACACACACACACAAAAGCAGCGAGACATGAAATTTTTTGCTTTACTTTGCCCTTTCTTTTAATTTAAGCTACCCGATAATCTGTCTCAGAGCAGCTAAGGCGCGGGAGTGGGAGAGAGAGAATGAGAGCGCTACAGATAGACAATGGCCTCGTCGGGCACGCCCTTCCAGCCGCGCTGCTCGAGGTCGAGGAGCGAGCGGACGCCGTCGTCGACCGTCTTGGCAAAGGCGTGGTACTGGATGCCCAGGAGCTCCTCGGCCTTGGTGCCCACGAGCTCGTGTACGGGCAGGCCCCTACCGCTGCCCGGCTTGCCCACGGGCGTCTGCTTCTTCCACGCCTCGGGCACCACGGCGGACGCGTGGAGGGCATCGACGAGGTCCTGGTGCGTCCACGTCTGCGCCGCGGGTCCCACGCGTTCCCCGCCTGCCTGGGGACGGAGGAGTGCCTCGACGTGGGCCTGGGCCGCATCGCGCACATCGACGACCGAGCCCGAGGGCGCAGGCAGGTCCGCGTCCGTCTTTTGACCGTGGGTAAAGGCCCAGATGAGGGCCATGCTCGTGTTGAGCCGCTCGGCCGAGGCGACCTGCTGCAGGACAGGGCCCAGGACAAAGGGCGGGTTGATCGTCGCCAGGTCCCACGAGGGCTGGTGCGTCGCGACAAAGTCCCAGGCTGCGCGCTCGGCCAGCGTCTTGGAGGCGCGGTACGCCTCGACGGGCACCTGGTTGTCGCCGTCGCGCTCGTGGCCCTCGACCGAGGTCGAGTTCCAGTCGGCCTCGGTGTAGCGCTGCGGCGGCGGCTTGGTCGACGTCAGGATCGCCGCAAAGGAGCTCGTAACGACGACGCGCTTGACTGTCTTGCTCTTGAGGATCGACTCGAGCACGTTGGTCGTGCCCCGCAGCGCGGGCTTGATCAGTGTCTCGGTTGCGCGGCCCTGGTGTGCGCCTCGTGAGTCAGTGTTTCTTTTCCTTCATAGCCGCCCCCTCGTGTCACCAGTCGACCCACCTCGGTGTTCATGTGGAAGGGCGAGGCCGTGTGCAGGACGCCGTCGGCATCCCGGACGGCGTCGTCAAACACGCCGGGCGTCTCGAGGTCCTCGGCGACGACGTACTCAAACTTGCCCGGGTGGCGCTTGTCAAAGAGCTGGCGGAGGTAGTCGCCCTTGTCCGTCGAGCGCACCGTCGCGCGCACGCGGTGGCCGCGCTCCAGCAGCTGGTGCACGCAGTGGACGGCGAGGAAGCCGCTTGCGCCCGTGACGACGACGAGCGAGTCTGGTCCGATGGCTGGCATGGTGAGGATGAAGTTACTTGGGTAGAATTGACAATGCGACAGAGTTTATAGGACCCCTCCCTGTTCTAACCCTCCACCTGGGTGGCGTGCGATCGATGGACCCAGAGCCGTGTCATTAGATAAATTTTAAATTCTCGGAAAATCATCGCAGATACAACAGTGGAGAGTGAGTAAGTGGAAGGAGGAGTACAGGAGTGGAGAGTGAAGAGGTGCTACAGCTCAGCGAGATCGAAGCGGCCGTAGCCGGCGCGCTCGGCCTCGTCGACGACGTGGTGCCAGATCGAATAAGAGCTTGCATCTTCGTCATCATCGTCGTGGCCGTGGCCGTGGCGCAGGCTCTTGGGCACGATGAAGCGCTCGATGAGGTGCGCCGCTCCGTTGGCCGTCGAGATGTCCTGGAAGACGACGGGGACACCCTCGACGGCGATGCGCGTCTGCAAGGGCCCCTTGCCGCCCGGCAGCGGGTAGTAGCGGAACACCTCGACGTCGACCTGCTCAAACTCTGGCTTCTTCTTTGAGACCGAGGCCTCGTCGCCGTGCTTGTGCTTGTGGCAGCGCAGCTTGGGCAGCGCCGTGTCAAACTTGAAGCGCGTCACATTGGCCGGGCCTCCCCATCCGGCCGCCTCGCCAAAGAGGGCGGCCACCTCGGCGGCGTCTCGCGTCTCGTCCTGCGCGGCCTTGACGCCCGGCACGCCGTAGACGGCATCGGCAAAGAAGGCGGTACGGGGCAGCGTGTGGAAGGCCAGCACCTTTTGCAGCACGCGCGAGCCAAAGGGCGAAAAGAGGAACAGCTTCAGCCCCGCGGGCAGGCGGAGGAAGGCGAGGTTGCCCGGCGCAAACAGCGTCAGCGCCTCGAGGCCGTGGGCGTGTGCGGGCGGGTGCGTCTCGTGATCCTTTTCCAGCGCGCGCACCAGGCCGAGGCTCTTGTCGGAGCCGCCCTTGTTGTGATGGTGGTGGTGGACAGCGCTGTGGTTGAAGGGAATCTTGAGGTATGTGTCCACGTCGACCTTCTGCGCGGCACTCGTCAGGGTGCTGAACGTGGCTTGGCCGTAGAAAAGGGCCTGGAGCGTGCTGGGAGGGATCAACAGTGGGTAGCGCACTCCATGGACGAGAGAGCCGCCGACCTCGACGTCGCGGTAGACGATGGGGCTGTAGCCGTTGAGCACAACGGACCAGCGGGGCAGGATGACTTTGCCGACGCGGACCCGGAACGGCTCCCCGTCGAGAAGGTTCCCCACCACCTCCCTCGTCCGCTCGCCGTGTACCTTGAGCAGCGAGGCCACGGTGCTGTTTTGCGCCAGCTCCCAGGCCGTCAGCGGCTTGGCCGAGTCAACGACGTGGTAGCGGATAGTGGCGTCGATGAGGAAGGCGAGGATCTTGCGTCTACGCTTCTTCCTTTCGTCGTCGTCGTCTTCGTCGTCGTCACCATCATCGCCCTTCTTGGAAGCCTCGATGTCGTCCACCTCACGGACGATGCGGTCCCATGCGGCGACGTGCTCCATTGGGTCACCATGCTCCATCACCTCCATGGCCCTGTGCTTCCTCTCGACATTGAGCGGGGCTGCCAGAATGCACCGTAAGCCAGGATTCTCTCTCTCTCTCAAATCAGACCGGTGAGGCAGACGCACCAAAGAAGGTAATCTTCTTTTCCTTGTCGTCGAGCAGCTCTTTGCTGCCCTTGCCTGCGTACTTGAGCACCTTTTTGAGCTGGCTCAGGTCGGGTGTGTCCTGGATGAATTCCCAGATGGACTTGTCGACGGGCTCCTCGTCGAACGTCGTGACGACGTCCTTGGAGCTCGCGCCGACGAGGTTAGAGAGCTTGCCGCTGAGCCAGGAGACGAGCGGCAGCGCGGGTGCCTCCGTCGAGGCAAAGCGGAGTTGCTGCTGCACGTCGCTGAGTGCTGGCGCGGGCGTCGCTCCGGCCAGCGAGGCCGACGCGACGAGGAGGGGCACAGTGGAGAACAGACGCATTTGACCACAATCAACGAGGAGAAGAGAGTCGAGGGGGGAAAGAAGGGAGGGACACAGCAGGGTATGCTGAATTATAGCTAGCTGACCTACACCCCCGCTCGGCCTGCCTCTTCCCATGCGCATGCCCGCCCACCGTCGAAGCCCCAGCCGGCCAGGGCATGCCGAGCCCTTTTCTTCCAAATCTCCACATCTGAGGCCCTTGTGCTCTGACAAATAGCCAGCGCGCTCGGGCCACCCTGCGCTGACGACATTTTCCGGAGCGCAAAGCTGAGCGTGCGCAGTCGGCGGACCCTGGCAGAAAGCCAGCGCTGAGAAAGCGGGCACGGCTCATTGGCCTCGTGCGTGCGTGCAGTCAGAAGGTACTCACAGACTCGTTACGCAATAACGAGGGGGGACGGCCCCTCTGGGCTCGCGGGGACAGCACGGAATTGCCAACGGTTTGAGAATCCGGAACGCTCGCGCGATGCTCTCGACCAATGTCATTGCAAAGCCAGACGAGTACAGCGGAGTGCGATGAGAGAATGGGAGCATGGGCAGATGGGAGAGAGAAGGAGAAGGCAAGGGTGTTCGCAAGGAGGAGGCGTAGCATCCCACGTCTGACCACGGCCCACGTGCCCCGCTGGGGTTGGCCTTGGCTTGAATGGGGAAGGCTCGTCGTCGTCCGTAGGTGAAAGTCGCTATTCGACACGGGTCAACAGGTTGGGCACTTGGAGCCAGATCGAAGCGATGTGGCACTTGATCCCGTATTTCGAGGGCCAGCCAAAGACGTTGCCAACGGTAGCTTTTGCGCCCTTGCCGATCAGGATGTTTTCCTTTCTACACCACTTTGGGTCATGGGTGCCCTGCACGGTGAACAGGATGTTTTCGAAATACACATCAATAGAACCCATGATTCTGCCCAGGACCTCGACAGCAAAAAAGACTGAGCCAGTCAGCGACATTGTCTTGCAGCTTGAAAGGATCGGAGGTCTCACTCTCGGTCATTTTATATGCTGCGACGTCGTTGTAGTGTGGATAGACCCAGGTTCCCTGCACCGATGTGGACAACATCCAGTCTCCCCTGCACCATCATTCGATCAGCATGTCCTCATTCGTCGACATTAGCCTGGAAAGGATTTAAACCCACCGTGCCGGTGAGTGCCACATCTTGTAGCTCAGGTAATCGTTTTCCTTACAGAGTTGTTCAGTTGCATGAGCCTGCGGCTGATTTGGGTTGACGTTCGGATTGTAGACCTCCGATGTCCACACTAAGTTGTCGGACTCGTCGTAGCCGAGCACAGGCTGGAAGAGCATCTCTGAATCCTGCCATTGAACCGCTTTCAGCCTTTCGATGCTTGACTTGAAAGAGCGGCGAGCAAGGGGAGATGAGATGCCTTACCTGTGTAGACAAGCCGGGCCAGACGTAGACTCTGGGAGGCGGATACTTGGCGTAAAGGTTTCCCTTCATGTAGGTGACATGCCCGAAGGACACATTATACAGAATGAAGAAGATGGTGCTTTTCTCTTGCTCGGTGGTGCGGAGAATGCTTTTGGGCCCGCGCCAGGGACCGGTCTCGCGGCCGGGATCGTCTGAAGTCTTGCGTATGGTCTCGCGGCCGGGGACGTCTATACGGTTGCGTAGATCCTTGCTGATTCGGAAGGCGCCGAGTAGCGGCAGGAGGAAGAAGAAGAGGGGGAGGGAGAGGAGCAGCATCAAGACACGAGCAGGTGGCTGTGGTGGCAGGAGGGACGATGTCGTGGTAGGAGGAGAGCAAAGTAGCTCGAAAAGACAAGGAGCGACAAAGAGCGACAGGACTCGTAAAAGGGACAGCGGGCCAGGAACAATGGCTGGGCGTCTCGCACTCACTACCTGCCGTGGCTCCGAGGCTGTTTGGATGGCCTGCGTGGGAAGAAGAATCATCCACCGATTCTGTCGCCGCTTCAAAAAAAAAGCCAGTATTTCATTGACCTTGTACGCGCAGTCAGAAGGCAGTCACAGAATTGTCACGCAATGTCGGAGGGGGGGACGAACCCTCCTTGACTCGCGGGGACATGTGTGATTCCCATTGGCTTCAGATCTACGAACGCTCGCGCGAGGCTCCCGCCCAGTGCCATAGCAGAGCCGGTATACGGCGAAGATTGGGAGCAGGGGCAGATGAGGGAGAGGAGTAGGAGAGAGAGGGAAAGAGTACTCGCGAGGAGGACGAAGGAGAACAAGCATAGTATTCAGCGTCTGACCACGCAGCCCACGTGCTGTGCAAAAGACAGCCGGGGAGGCTCGTCGTCCGTCGGTGAAGGCTGCTAATCGACGTTGGCCGCCAAACTGAGGACATGGAGATCGATCCACTCGATATGGCACAATGCTCCATAGCGGGTCCACGTGCCTTTGAATTCACCGAAGTTGACTTCCAAGCCTTTGCTGTTCTGGAAACTGTCTTTGCTGCACCACTTCAAGTCTTGGGCGCCGTTCACGGTGAAGGCGATGTGGTTAAATAGCGCATTAAAAATTGTGTCATCCTGCCTGCCCAGTGCCTCGACGGCAAAAAAGACTGAGCCGGTCAGCGAGGCTTGACTGGCGAGCAACGTGGAGACGATTCTCACCCTCATTCATGTGGTAGGCTTTGTGGTCTTTGTAATGCGGATTGGTTGGGCCTCCAGGCGTCCATGTGGACAACATCCAGTCTCCCCTGGGCCACAGTCTTATTAGTGATCTTGGACGTTGCTGCAGCGCTGTCTCAAGAAACGCCAAACCCACCGTTCTGCCGAGTGCCACATCTTGAATCCAAGTTGACTCAAAGGGGAACAGGGTTGACTTCTTGCATGTGCCTGCGGATTGGCGGGATTGGCCTCTGGGTTATAGACCTGTGACGACCATTGGCAGAGATCATTCTCGTCGACGCCGAGTACAGGCTGGAAGAGGATGTTCTTATGCTGTACCACTCTCAGCCCTCCAATGCTTGAAAGACGTCGCACAAAAAGAAAAAAAAAAACTTACATTTGCAGACATGCCGGGCCAGACATAGACGTTGGGAGGTGGGGGTAGGGCAACGACCGCTCCGGCAAACCAAATGATGTGACCGCCGTCGGGCACGTTTAGATAAGTGAAAAAGATCGTGTGCTTGTCTTTTTTTGGGACGGGCACCGTGCTGACGATTTTTGGCATGTTTTCGACAGCTGGATCCGGATTGTTTGGTCGAACGGGTCTTTGCCTCGGGTCCTCTATCGGATCCGGTTTCCCTGGATACAGACCGTGGACTGTAGGAATGAAGATAGCCACGATTGCCAGAAGGAAGAAGATGAAGAGCATCGCGACGCGAGGAGATGGCTGTGGTGGCAGGAGGGATGATGGGTTGGCAGGAGGGTAACGTAGCTTGGAAGGACAAGGAGGGACAAGGAGGGACAAGGAGAGGCTCGTAAAAGTGACAGCGGGCCAGGTACAAGGGCTGGGCGTTTCTCTTTCGCTGCCCACCGTGGCTCCGGGGCTGTTTGGGTGGCCCGCGTGGGAAGGAAGCATGCACCAGAATTGTCGCCGCTTCAAAAATAATAGTATTACATTGACACACCGCAGCAGCACTAGATGAGGCCCTGGCGCTTCAGCAGCTCGTACGTCTTTTTCGTGTAGGTCTGTGCGGAGATTGGCGTTCAAGTCAGTCATAGTCACAGCAGAGTAAGGGGGAGGAGAAGTGCACTCACATTGCCGTGCTCGTCCTCGACTTCTTCTGCGTCGCCCTGCTCGTCGGCCACGGCCTTGCCCTGCTTCTTGAGCTTCTCGGCGACTGTCAGGGCAGGAGAATCAGCTTTCTGTGGGCAAAATAATGAAGGCAAGCCACCCACGGGCAAGGGCATCCTCGATGCGCGTGATCTCGTAGAAGTGCTTGGTGTTGGGCAGGCCGAGGGCACGCATGCCAAATGCGTGCCGCGACTCGGAAAAGTGTCGCTCAAAGTTCTTGCGGCCCTGGTAGACGTAGTCGGAGCAGATCTCGCACTTGAACTCGACGCCGAGGCCGTGCAGCTTGTACAGCCAGTAGGGAATCGGCTTGCCGTCCCAGCCGAGGGGCAGCCGGCGCGGGTTGTAGAGGCGCCCTTCGTCGTCGTCGTCATCGTCGTCATCGCCATCGCCGCCGCCGCCGCCGCCGCTCGTCTGTCCCCGGTCGCCGCCGCGTGGTCGCTCGTCGCCGCCAGCTTCGTCAGCCTCGGCCTGGCGCTCCTTTTCAGTCAGTGCCGCCCGGCGCTCGACATTGGCCCGCGTCTCGGCCCGCGTCGCCAGCAGCTCCCTCCCCGCAGCCTGGATCAGCGCCTCGTCGCGGGCCATCGCCTTTGCCTTTGCCCGCCGCTTCGCCTGCTCCACCTGGCCCGCCTCGTCGTCGCCCCGGGCAGCGCCACTGCCCTGCGCGGCCCCGGACGTCGATTGTCCAGTTGCGCCCCCGTTTGCGAGTCTCTGGGCGGCCTTGGTGTGCTTGGCGCCCTGGAGGTGCGCGTCAAAGACGGTCTGCTTGGCAAACGACCGCGCGCAGGCCTCGCACCAGATGCCGTCGCCGCTGGGCTTCGACGGCGCTGCCCGCGCGGGTGCTCCAAAGATGCGCTCCCCGCCGTCCTCCCAGCCGGCCAGTCTGCCATTGTCCCAGTCGTCTTCAAACGTCGCCAGCGTCGTCAGCTCGAGCATGTCAATGTCCTGCAGCGGCCGCGTCTTTCGGAGAAAGGCCAGGAGGTAGGCCTGCAGGTCGCGCAGGTATCTGTCAGATGGAGAAGGGGCTTAGCTTTCACCTTCGAAGTCTGCAAGAGGGACAAGAGGCTCTCACCTCCGGTAGCCCTCGGTGCGTTTCGTCTCGTCTGGTATCCGCGAGCCGTCGCCGGCAATCTTGTCGAGAATGTCAATGTACTGCAGGTAGCTGATCCGCCGCACGCCCTTAAGGTTGAGGAACGCGTCGTGGTGCACATAGACGTCCAGGAAGCGACCGGCAGCCTCCTCGCCGCTGAACATGCGGTCGACAAAGTCCAGGCCGGCTGCAGCCTCGGCCGCCGAGCCTGTGCCCTCGAGCGCGCTAAAGTCGACCTGGAAGGCGTCGGCGGAGGCGCCGGGGTAGCGCTTGTGGTAGTCCTTGACCTTGGCCAGCCGGTCGTAGAACTCGGACATGGCGTCGTCGGAGCTCGACGGACCAATGGCCTCCATCTCGCGCGCCCGCTCGCCCGCGACGTCGCGATAGAAGTTGTCGAGAAAGGCACTGCGCGAGACGATGCGGTCGAGCAGGTCCGACGCCTGGTGCGCCCGCTTCAGCTGCTCCTTGTGGCCCGCGGCAGACGAGCCCAGCACGTCGGCTACGGCCTGCTCGTAGCGCTCCACCTCCTCGTGCGTCTGCCTCGCGACCTCAAAGATGGATGTCTCTGCCATGGTCTCGCCGTGCTCCTCGACCTGTGTCGACTGCTCTTGCTTCCTCAGCCTTGGACTGATTGCTTCTCGAGGATTGGATTGGAGACGGGCTGAAATTTCTATTCACGTGTTTGGAGTCAGTCACGTGGTGATTTCATTCATCGCAAGAGATCGCCACTCTATGTCACCCCCATCGACTTCCATCACCACAATGTCGGCGGCTGCTCTGTCCTCGCTGCTGCCCCAGCCGCGCCACTCGATGGCCGTCACGGTCGAAGAGGAGCCAGTGGTAGCACCAGCGGACGAGAGAACGACAGTAGCAAGGCCCTATGGACAACGGCGGGGATGGAAGCCGCGGGAGCAGGACGACTTTGGCGACGGGGGCGCCTACCCTGAATGCCACATTGCCCAGTACCCCCTCGAGATGGGGCGCAAGAAGTCGGTGAGTAATCACACTCTCGAGATAGGCCGGTCTCAGGGCTCGGAAGCTGACTCTGACCGCAGAGCAAGAGCGGCAGCTCGCTCACACTGCAGGTGGATGGCGAGGGCAACGTGCGCTACGACGCCATCGTCCAGCAGGGCCGCAAGGAGGGCCAGCACTATCAGTCGCAGTTCAAGGACCTCGTGCCGCTGCGAGAGCGTGGTGATGACAAGGATACTGCGCGGGACATGGACCGGCCCGACGCGGAGTCAGTCGCTGAGACGGCCGAGCGCACGCGGCTGGCGCTCGAGAAGATTACACAGAGTAAGATCAAGGCGGCGCAGCCCAAGAACGTCGCCACCGGCGGCAGCGGCTCCTCGTCGTACATTCGCTACACGCCCGGCGGGCAGCACGGCCAGGAAGGGGGCGCAGGCAAGCAGCGCATCATCAAGATGTCGGAGCAGGCCGAGGACCCGCTGGAGCCGTCGCGGTGGAAGTTCAAAAAGGTGCCAAAAGGCCCACCAAGCCCGCCACCGCCGGTGCTGCGGAGCCCGCCACGCAAGATCACGGCGCAGGAGCAAAAGGAGTGGATGATCCCACCGTGCATCTCCAACTGGAAGAACAACAAGGGCTACACGATTCCCCTCGACAAGCGCCTCGCCGCCGACGGCCGTGGCCTGCAGGACGTGCACATCAACGACGGCTTTGCCCAGTTCAGCGAGGCGCTCAACCTGGCCGACCGGCACGCGCGCGAGGAGGTGCGGCAGCGGAGCCTAATGCAGCAGAAGCTGGCGCAGAAGGAGAAGGCAGCCAAGGAGGACCACCTGCGCCGCCTGGCGCAGCGTGCGCGCGAGGAGAGGAGCGGCCTCGCGCCTGCTGCTGGCGATGACGATGAAGACGAGGATGACTTTGACTCGAGGCTGGGTGCCGCGCCGGCAGCGGCCAGGGCGGGCGGCGGCGGCGGTGGCAGCACCGCCAACAACATCGCCGCCGCCCTGGCTGGGTACGGCAGCGACAGCGACAGCGACGCCGAGTCCGACGACGACGACGACGACGACGCGGCACGGGAGCGTGACCGGCTGCGCGAGGAGCGACGGCGCGAACGGGAGCGCGAGATGCGCATGTCGAATATGGGCACCGAGCAGCGCGCCAAGATGCTGGCCCGCGAGCAGAACCGCGACATCTCTGAGAAGGTCGCCCTGGGCCTGGCCAAGCCCACGTCGTCGTCGGATCAGGTCGACACTCGGCTCTTCAACCAGGAGAAGCTTGACGCCACGTTTGGCGACGAGGACTCGTACAATGCCTTTGACAAGCCCCTCTTCTCTGGCAGCACCGCCGCAGCGGCCATCTACAAGCGCCCCGCCGGCCGGGCCAGCGGCGCTGGTGGTGCCGACGACATCTACTCGGCCGAGGGCGTGCAGGAGGCCATGGAGAACGACCGGTTCGGGCTGGGCAAGTCGCGGGCCTTTGAGGGAGCCCAGTACCAGGAGGCGCGCGACGGCCCGGTGCAGTTTGAAAAGGACGCCGCCGACCCGTTCTCGATCAACCAGTTCCTCGACGAGGCCAAGCGCGGCACCAAGCGCGGCGGCATCGACAGCGGCGATGCCGCCTCGAGCCGAAAGCGTGCGCATGCCGAGTAGGCTTGTACTCACCGCACCCATCATTCTCACCCGTACTCACTCTTCCCTGATTCATTGAGACACATGACCAGTCCTGCTATATTATTACCACTCTGTACAGTACTATGCTGCTAGAAATCACATGGACCCTTCTTCTTCGTTGCCGCGCCAGCCACCCCAGAGCTTGGGGCCCTCGATGTCGTAGCGCTTGCCGCGCACGGCCCAGAGGCCCCAGTTTGCCTTGACGGCCACGCGCGGGTCAAAGTCGGCGACGGCCCACTGCTGGCTCGCAAAGACGTTTTCGCCCGGGTTGACGAGCCACTCGAACTCGCCCTGGATGCCGTCGACGGACTCAAAGGCGAGGATGTCGCGCTCGACGTCGGCGGGGCTGAAGCCCGTCGAGACGAGGGCGCACTTTGTGCTCAGCATCTGCCCCAGGGCCACGGCCCACTCGCGCTGGGCCTGGACGATGGGCGCGGCCGTGAGGCTCGTGTAGCTGCCCTGCGGTCTCTCGGCCGACGTCGGGCCTGCTGCTGGTGCTGGTGCAGGCTCAAGGGCCGGTGTGTCTCCTCCTGCTGGCTGGGCGGCGGCAGCGGCTGCTGCTGCTGACGGCTGCATGCGCTGCCGCTCGTCCTGCGCCTCCCACCGCTGCCGCACCGCCTCGTTCTGGCCGACGACGCTGGGGAAGCCAAAGCCAGGACTGAAGGCGAAGAAGACGTCGGTGTACGGGTCAAATGGCTCCAGCTGGCTGTGCACCTCCTCGTACCGGCACTGCAGCGTCGTCAGGGTGAGGCCCTCGGAGATGACGACCGTCTTGGACGGCACGCCGTAGTTGGATGTCCGGTGCCGGCCCTTGTGCATGGAGACTGTTGATGACGGTGACGACGACGACGACGAGGAGGAAGGCGCCGGCTTGTGGTCCGCCAGCACGGCCTCGGGCCCAATGAGAAAGATGTGAAAGGCGACGCCGGGGAACACGTACGTCAGCTGGTCCCACACCGACGGCGGGAGCGACGACTCGGCTCGCGCGCCAACGACAAAGATGCGCATCACATCCAGGCTCGGCTTGCTGCCCTGGAGCGGGTGCAGCGTCTGCCGCAGCGCAATCATGCTCCGCAGGCCCTCGTGCGTCATGCGCCCGCTCCGCCGCGTCAGCGCGCTGTTCTCGTGCAGCACCCCGGCCACGGTGCAGGGAAAGGTGAGAAGGCGCGAGACATGGCGCCGGGACCGGTCCGTCTCAATCGAGTTGAAGTTGCGCGTGTAGAAGAAAATGTCCCACGACGACAGGTTGATGGTCTCCTCGATGCCCTGTGGGCCCGGCAGCCTGAACTCGCTCATCTCCCGCCCGCTCCGCAGGTCGTGCTCGTCCTCGTTGGCCTCGCGCAGCCGGGCCACGTACTTTGCATGGTCCGGGTCCTCGCTCCACTCCTTTTCGCTAAAGTGCGTCGGCCAGCCGCAGTCGGGGCACTCAAAGTTGACATTGCGCCGCACGCCGTCGCGGTTGAGGCTGACGGGGCAGGGCGCCAGCTTGCGGATCCGGTCCCCGCGCGCCCGCATCGCCGGGATCGGGCTCTTGGACAGCGGGTGGAAGAGGTTGTCCTGCGAGAGAATCGGTGGCTTGCTGCTGCTGCTGCTGCTGCTGGGGCCGCCTCCTGCGCCCACCGAACCGGGCTTGGCCTTGCTGCGCCCAAACGAGAGCCCAAAGAGCGTCCGCCTCTGCTCCAGCGTCCGGCTCGCGCGCACAATGATCGGCCTCATCGTTTGTGTCATCGCGTCAGCCTGGGGAGCAGAGCAAGACTGGCATTAGACGCAAGACTGGAGAGGGACGAGAAGAATGGGACGCGCTTAAAAGCTCGCTCGGCCGAGCGTTCTACTAAGTGAGAAGCCATGTGGGATTCGAATTTCGAGCGCGTCGCCATCCCAGTTCAGCATGCCTATGACAAAGTGATTTTCGCTCCAGAGAGGTGGAATACCATCAAAAATCCAATCCTAATCCTAACCCCAACCCTAACTCTTACCCCAACCCTAACCCTAACCCACCCTAACCCTAACGGACCTACCCCTAACCAGCGCCGACCTTCTAAGATCTAGGGAATTGGGACCAGCCGAAATCTTGCATTTTCTCGGCCGACGAGAATGACAGAAGTCAGCCCAATGACAAAGCGTCGGGCGAGCGAGTTTTTATGCGCATCCAGAAGAATGCGCGCGACACGTGCTTCACTTTTGGAAAATCCTTCTCGTCGCACCCTTCGTCGCATCCACCGCTTCCTCTCTTGCCCGTTTTCAACCCCTCATTCCCATATCTAATCCCCCATCCATCCACCCGCCCTCGCCATGCCATCCCCCGCTCGTCTCTACATTGGCCGCCTGAGCCCCGATGTGCGCCAGGCCGACCTCGAGGAGCTGTTCAAGGGCTACGGAAAGATTGTCGACCTGCGCCTGGTGAGAGCATGGCCGCGAGGCGAGCCTGCAGCCCGCACACGAGAGCCCCGCAAGCTGACCAAGCATGACTACTACCCCCACTCAGATGGGTGCCTTTGGATTCTGCGAGTGGGAGAAGCCCGAGGACGCTGAGGATGTCATCAAGGACTTCAACGGAAAGACATTCATGGGCGAGCGGTGCGTGTGAATCCGACCCACATCCTCTCCTTTTCCTGCTGCTCACATACCACCGTTGACAGCCTCATCATCGAGCCTGCCAAGGAGGCCAGGCCCAAGGGCCCCCCCGCCGGTGGCGACCCCTATGCTGGTGGCTACGGAGGCGGCCGCGGTGGCTACCCGCCCTACGGAGGCTACCCTCCCTACGGCGGCGGCGGCGGCGGCTACGGCGGTGGCTACGGTGGCGGCTACGGAGGCGGCTATGGCGGCGGCTACGGTGGTGGCTACGGCGGTGGCCGTGGTGGCTACGGTCCCCCACCGCCTGGCTACGGCCCCCCGCCGCGCTCGGGCCCCCCGGCCCCGCGCAGGATGCGCCACGGCCAGTACCGCCTCATTGTCTCGAACCTGCCCGCCAACACGTCGTGGCAGGACCTCAAGGACATCGGCCGCGAGGCTGGCCACGTCTCGTACGCCGACATCGACCCGTCGCGTCCCGACGAGGGCGTGCTCGAGTACGACAACCGCGAGGACTACGAGCGTGCGCTGGACAAGGTCGAGGGCATGGAGCTGAGGGGCAGCAAGCTGCGCATCGACCCGGCCGAGCGGCCCAGCAGCAGCAGCCGGCCCCCCAAGGAAGCCTCGCCTGCGCCGCGCGACCGCAGCCCTGCGCCCCGCCGCTCGGCCCGCGAGGACAGCCGCGAGCCACCGGCGCGTGGCAGCCGCTACGAGAGCCGCAGCCCCCCGCCGCGCCGTGAGCGCGACTACGAGTGATGGATGGCTGGCTGCGACCTGGTAAGGTGGCTCCTCCCCCTTCTTTTCCCTTCCTGACCCACTTTCAGCCGTCTATCGGTGCCGTTGTCCCCCTCCTCCAAATCGTGTCCCCCTTCGAAGAAGAAAAGAAAAGGCGAAGCCGTTTCAGAAATACAAAAGTGGTGTCCCTGATCCCCGCCGGAAAGGAGGCGCGCCAGATGGCGCCAAGTGACGCAGAGTGGCGTGGAGCGAGCGAGATGCGAACGAGCGAGCTGCGTAGACGAGAGCGAGATTCGTAGAGACAAAGAGACAAAGAGACGTACGCGAGATGGGCAGTGACGAGAGCGAGACGTGAAGACGAGAGAGAGAGGCAGGCGGGAAGGTTAGGTGGACAGTCACGAGAGCGAGACGAGCGCGAGAGACGAGAGACGAACGCGGGCTGTCGACGTTCGTCTCGATCTGCGCTGCTCTGAAGACCAGGAGACGTTGGAGACGGGGAGACGCCGTGCCGAAGCAGAGATGAAGCATCCGTCCGAGGGCTGAGTAATCGTGAGACAAGAGGTGAGTCCTCCTCTGCCGCGGCGGCACTGACCCCGGCCCTGGTGCGTGTGGAATGCAATGCTATTTCTCTGCATGATATCCATTGTCTCTGAGGCATTGTTGAGTATGTTCTTGCAGAGCGGCATCAGCATCCCCTTCTATTATGTTATGTTATGAAGCAGGCATTCTTGAGGCACATGAGAGAAGCAGTCAGGCATTCCAGAAGCGATCAGGCGTTCTGAAAGCGATCAGGCATTCTTGGGCGCCCTCTTCCAGAGAAGCGTCAGGTACACCTCGTCGTTCTGGCAGGTGCATGGTCAGTGTGCGCCGTGCCTGCGACGGCGAGAGGAGTGATGCACTCACGCCGACCTTCCATGGCTCGGGCGGGCGCAGCGCAACAAAGGGCTCGCCGTCGATGGTGAGGAAGCCGACGTTGCGCGTCTGCCGCGTGCCCTCCCAGTTTGCGTCGATGCAGACGCGCACGTCGTGGTGCACGGTGCCCGCCACGTCGACTGCGTGCTTTTCGCCACGGTAGTAGACAGTAATGGGCTCTGCGCCCCCGGCGCCGTCCTCGTAGGAGTAGGGCCCCGCGTAGGACGTGATGGCGCGGAGGCCTGGCCGCGTCGGGTCGGTGCCGTCGGCCAGCACGTGGGCCGACAGTGGATGGCCCTCGAGCAGCTGCGCCGACATGTAGCCATCGGCGCTGTAGAGAATCTGGCCATGGCCGTGCGGGCCCAGGACATCGTGCTGCGCCTCGCCGCTTGCCCGGTTGATGACGCTGAAAGCGGCCAACTGCCACGTCGTGCCGGCCAGCGAAGACAGACTCATGGTGGTTTGTACTGTAGAATCGTCACTGTGGAGGGCGCGCTGGAAGTTTAGTCTACTTGCGCCGGGCCGCGCATCTGAGCGTGGCCACGCTCGCGCCGTACTGAGCTTCTGCATCAGATCGGCCACGAGCAGTACCTCAGGCAACTCCAGTAGGAAGACAGGATGAGCGTACTAAAGCGGCTCCTCAGCCCATGTTTCGGCCGAATTCCTCAGAAGATGGCAAGCATCAGGAGCCATCGACAACGTCCTCACTCTCCACCCCGCAATTTGCATTCCACATTGACCTGTGTTTAGTCCTGCTTGTCTGATGGAGAGAATAGGGGTAAGCATTACCATTGGAAGCTCCTTTTAGCGGAGACTTGGCGCTCAGAGTAGCGGTCCAAGCAGTGCCTTCCACCTCTTACTCGTGAGCCTTAGCGTGTCACTCTGCTCCCAGCGGGCACACGGCCGTTGATCTGCAGAGCGTCGCCTGGCCAAGTGCCAGCTCGAGCAGCAGAGGTCCGGGCGATGATTGGAGAAGGAAGCGCATCGGCCAAGGCTCCCTTTGTGAGGCGACGCGCGGGCGCTCCCTTTGTCACGGTGACACGCGCCTGCTCCCTTTGTCGCCATGTCACACCCTCTTCACGCTAGGCTCTCCGTGTCGAGCCCTGATCACACTGGCGTGCACAGACAGATGATGAGACCACTGATGGCAGTTTGCAAGGGTATAAGAGAGGCCCCGCCCACTGTGCCCTTGCTCTGCAACCACCCACGATGCAGGACCTCATCAGTGCGCCGTTTCCCCTCCTCTTCAAGGGCGAGCTCTACGTCGACCGGGAGCGCTTCATCAGGGCCCTTGTCGAGCGCAGAAGTCAGCAGCAGCAGCAGCAGCAGCAGCAGCAGAACCAGCAGAACCAGCAGCGACAGGCCGCCGAGGCCAGGCAGGAGCACGCCGACTGGGCCAAGTGGAGCGTCGACGTCGGCCGCAAATTTCTCAACGGCGAGCTGGTCTTGGCGCGAGGACCACCACAGCCCAAGAGCGTCGACGAGGAGCTGAGGGACATGCTCCTGGACAGCCATGCGCTCGCTGAGTTCCGCCAGTGGGTGCTCAAGCGCAGGAGGGCTGAGCGTCAGGAGCAGCGCGAGAGGGACCGGGGCGTCGTCCTGCGCGTCGATTCAGGCAGCCACAATTGATTAGCTACTCCTAGGCACGTCACACGGATCCTCCTCGGTGATTTGGGAAGCCCACTTCCGAACAGCTGTCTGTTAGTCTATCTTGAAAACCAAATCGGAAGTCGAAAAAAAAAAATTTAGACTAGGCACGCCATGGCGTCTGCTCAGTTCCGATCTTGTTCCTTGGGGCTGTGGTCATGCAATCGATGATAACGTCTATATAAGCACGAACCCACGATGCGCTGTCCATCATCAAGCAACAGCTGCCTCCTCACTCACCAACAATGCCTCTCCTCGTGCCCCGCGACATCACTGCGACAAACCCGAGCGCATCGACGCTCGAGGCGCTCAACAAGATCAACCAGTATGGTCCTTACGGCTACGAGCCTAATCTGGGCGGCGCCATCGTCTTCACCATCGGTCAGTCTCAGTCTCAGTCTCAGTCCTGATGGAAGATTCAAGAGAGCTCGCCACTGATGCATACACACACACAGTCTTTGGCATCTGCTCTGCCTTTATCCTGTACAGAGTCTTTGCCCGCCGCGCATGGTGGGTGCTCGCTACGCTGGGCGTGGGCGCCGTCTTTGAGTGCGCCGGCAACGCCGTCCGCATCTATGGGCACTGGCACGCCGACGTGGTGAACCCGTACATTGCGCAGCAGGTCATCCTCGTCCTGACGCCGGCCTTTATTGCCGCGTGCCACTTTGCCACGCTGGGCAAGCTCGGCCAGGCGTACCCGCACCAGCTGCCGCGCTTCATCCGCAAGCCCCAGTGGATCACGGCCTTTTTTGTCATCCTCGACGTTGCCTCGCTGGGGATCCAGGGCGCTGGCAGCGGCCTCGCCGGCTCCACCGAGGCGTCGGACACGGACGCAGACGTGGACACGGTCAACAACTACGGACTGATCGTCGTCGGCGGGCTGGCGCTCCAGCTCGTCGGCTACCTCGTCTTCAACGTCGTCTTTGTCCTCTTCAGCCTTCGCCTGCACCGCGCAGGCCTCCTGGACAGCGGCAGCCGCCTGCGCGCTTTTCTGATCGCCACCTGGTCTGCCTCGGCCCTCATCCTCATCCGGTCCACCTTCCGTACCGTGGAGATGGCGCTTGGCTGGATCGGGCCCGTCGCCACGCGCGAGTGGTACTACCTCGTGTTTGATGCCACGCTTGTGGCTGCCTCGATCGTGCTCCTCACGCTCTACTCGCCGGCAGACCATGTCCCTACCGGCGAAGTGGTGCAGCAGCAGGCAGAAAAGTACATAGATGAAGAGCAGGCCTGATGACACGATAGAAATACAATCAAAATTTCACATCAATGAGCCATTCCAAGCCGCTGTGGCCCAGTGCTGTGCGTCGGGTGCCTCGGCGACAGAGAGGGCGCCCAGTGCCTCGTCGCTGGACGGCGAAGATGAGGAGGACAGCAGTGCCTGTGCCTCGACAAAGGTTTGCCAGGGCTCCGTGTCGCGCTCCGGCACCGAGAAGCAGTAGTCGGTGGGGCCGAACCGGGATGGTCGGCTGGGCACGATGTACTGGCGCAGCTGTCGCTGCATGGCCTTCATGGTCTCGTGGATATCCCTTGAAGTCTGCTGCTGCTGCTGCTGCTGCTGCTGCTGCTGCTGTGGCCCTGCCTGGAGCTGCGCCTGGAATTGCGCGTGGCGCTCGTGTGTCTCGGCCAGAAAGCTGCGCAGCCGCGATGCAATCTCGCCCGAGTCGCGGCTCGAGTCGCACGTCGACACAGCGTCGATGAGCTGCGCAACGCACACGAGGACGTCGCCGGCAGTGATGACAAGGGTGGCCTCGAGGGCCAGGGGCCCCAGCGGGACCAGCTGGTTGGGCAGGATGGCGAGGTCAGGCATGTGCTGGACCAGGGCGCAGCCCCAGATGGCATACGTTGCCGCCAGGTCCATGAGGACTCCGCGCTGGGCACGGAGGAGGCCCAGCCGCGCGGCCTCGCCGTCGAGCTTGGCGATGCGGAAGAACGAGGCGAGGACGAGCTCATCCATTGACGTCGACGCTGACGGCATCGGCAGCTCCTCGCCCTGCCGCAGCCCGTACTCGCACAGGGCACTCCAGGTGCCAATGACCTGGCGGAGGAAGAGGCACTCGAGGAAAAGAGACTTGATGCCCTTTCGCCGCGTCACCTCGTCGATGGCGCCTGCGGCCATGACGGCCTCCCACACCACCTCGGCCGGCAGCTCGTCGCGCCAGGCCCGGAACGTCGTCATGGCCCGCTGCACGTCGGCGACCGCCACGCCGCGGCCCTGAGCCTGGGGCGTGACAAACTTGATCGAGATGGCGCGGACGACAAAGGCGAGACGGAGCATGAATTGCAGCTGCGTCGAGTCAAACGCCGCCGTCGACGAGCGCTGGGCCAGATGAGCCGGCGCGTCAAAGTCATTCTCGGGGCTCAGCATCCACACCGGCAGCTCCGTGTCGTAGTCCTCGTCGCGGATGAGCGCGTTTCTCCGCCGCCCAAAGGCCCGAAAGGTGTCCTGGATGAAGCAGGACCAAAAGATGCGTGACATGCGCCGCGCCTGCCCCGCGCTCACGCTACGTCCCGCGCAGTCCTGCAGCCGGCCATTGACGAGAACCGGCTCGCGGTGCATGCCGGCCTCAAAGACGAGCCGGGCAATGACCTCGTACGAGAGCGCGTCGAGGAACAGCGGGTCGTCGGGCCGGCTGACCTGCGACGTGATGAGATCCGACATGACGTACGTGGCCTCGATGACGTCGGCCTTTTCATCCAGGCTCTCGGCGGGCGCCTTGGTCAGGAGCAGCTCGCGGAAGCGCTTCTCCATGGCGTACTGCAGCTTGAACTTGTCCTCGGCACCCATCACGGCCGGCTCGAGCAGTCCGGCGCCCATGCACGCCGTCGCCAGCACGACGAGGTCTGCGTCTCGCTCTTCGTCGACGCGCGCCACAAGTGCGCCGATGTCCAGGACGGGCATGCAGGGCGCTGCATAGCGCATGTAGGCCACGACGCAGGCATGGAGCGTTGTGCGTGTCAGGCCAGCAATCTGATAGGGATTCGGGTTCTTGCTCCGCCTCTTTGGGTTCCACGTAAAGGTGCACTTGAGTCCGTGGCGGTCGCACGCGCTGCACTCGGCCTCGCCCCGCTCCAGCCGGATCCGCCGGTCGCACGTCACCTGGCATTCTTGCCTTGAGCATTCTAGCCGGCACCACGGCGTGCTCTTCGGTCACTCACCTTTCGCAGACGACAGGCGTCGCACGAGGCGCTCATCACCCGGCGCTCCCTTTCCTTTGACATGCTGATCTCGGCACTAGCCTCTCTCTGCGAACTGTCTTTGCGGCTTAGCTCGCGACCTGTCGTGCTATCTGGACTCGCTGCCCGGTCTCGCAGCTTCCCTCTTCCCTCCTGGATCGACCGCCGATCTCAGGCACTGCCTGCTGATCAACTCATGGCAGGGTCCGATTCATGCGCACTAGTCTCTCAATTGCCACGTGGCACGTGCCTGCTTGCACCGGTGCCTGGAACACACACGACTAGTCATGTTACGGCGGAACACACACGACTAGTCATGTTACGGTGGGAGATGGGCAGGTACACGGCTTGACATTGCACGGCGCTGCTAAAAAGATCTGGGGGGAAACAAAGGAATGAAAACAGTAGGTGACAAAGCTCAGTGGTTGCCGGCGGGGATGCCCAGGTCCGTGATGAGGGGCACGAGCTCGGGGACGCTGCTCAGAATCGTGTCCTCGAGGTTGAGTTCGGGCGCATCGCGGCGCTGGCGGCCGTGCAGGGCCTGCGTCAGCTTCTCCAGGCTGCCCTGGAGTCCTGCAAGGAGTGCATTGAGGCCTTCGAGCTCCGGCGTCTTGGTCACTCCGCCGTACTGGAGGCCCTAGTCAGCTTGCGTTGCTGTTTGGGTGTACGCGGGAGCACTCACATCGGTCTGGGGCAGGGGAGAGGCGAGTGCCAGGGTGGCAGAGAGCGCGACCGTAAGGAGCGAGAGACGGACCATTGTGTGAAGAGAACCGTGCTGGGAGAAGTGTGATGGCCTGAGCCAGTAAACTGAGACGAGCGCCTTTTTATCGGCTGCCCATCTGATCGGGCCCCCTGTCCGTGAGCAAAGGATCCCCGCCTCGGAATCTGATTAGAAGGCGAGCTTGTTCGAAAGCGCGTTCAGACGATGACGATCACTCTTGCGCCATCGACGCCTACGTTTGGGTGACAGACGAGGAAACACTATCGACCTTCTTTGATTGGGTTAGCGCCTCTTGGCGCGTCTGTCAAAATAGGCAAATTGTTGCAGCAGCGGACGCCTGTCAGGAAGAAAAGAGCTCTCACTGCCCGTGCTTCGACGCTACTGCAAGGCGAATTCCTCCAACTCTGTTCGGTAGATGAGCGATTTTCTCCTGCAGCAAGAGCCTAAACTGTCTAGCGCCCGAGGCCAAGGATGGCGTGCTCCCGGCGATTCCCACCCGGTGACCACAGTCGACACGTTCAACCGACGGACGCTTTCGCCATCAACGAGGCTAGGATGAGCACCCGCCCGTCGGCCGTCACGCCATTCAGGGGCATGGTCTCGGGCTTCATCCCGGGCTAGCTGACCGTGATTGAGCCATTTTCGAAGGCTTTCAAGCTGCTTGAGAGTCATTTTGAGGCACTATGAGACACTTTGAGAGAGCATGATGCACTTCCAGGCACTTTGAGGGAGTGTGAGGCCGCTCAAGGCACTTCGAGGAAGTATGAGGGAGCATGAGGCCACTCAAGGCACTGCGAGACACTAAGAGTAGCCTAGAGTCGCTCGGGGCCACATCAGATAGCTTTCGAACATTGTCGAGGCACCAGCTGCCCTAGGAGGGGACAGCTACCGTAGGCTGACACTGCCTGAGAGCCTACTTAAGTCTGCCTTTTTCAGACTTGCTGACGACCATCAAGTGCTCCCACTCCCTCCCCCACTCTCGTTTAGTCATGCTCACTGGCAAGTTCGTCCCCCTCCTCGCCACGGTGCTGGCCTCGCTGAGCCTCACCTCGTCGGCTCCCACGGCGGCCGACAAGCGGCAGATCTCACTCCCCGACAGCATCATCCCCAAGCTCGGCAACCTCACTGACCCCATCGCCAACAACGCGCCCGACGGCATCATCCTCCAGCCCCCGACGCCGGCCATCGACACCAAAGAGCCGTTCCCCAAGAGCGACATCAAGCCCAAGAAGCTCGGCTACTTCTGGACGGGCTCCGAGGACCGCAAGCACAAGGACTTCCTCGCCGCCGTCTCGCTCGACGACGACACCTTTGGCACCTTTGTCGACATTGCCGAGGTGCCCACGTCGGGCAACGAGCCCCACCATGTCGGCGCCTCGGCCGACGGCAAGACCATCGTCGGTGGCGGCCTCCTCTCGCTCCTCAAGACGCAGGACACCGCCTTCTACTTTGACGTCACCGACCCGTACCGTCCCCAGTTTAAGAAGAGCAACCGTGCAGCGCTCGCCTCGATCACCGATGAGATCCGTGCCAAGCCCGACGGTGGCTTCTTTATCACCTGTGAGTGTCTGTCTCTTTCCGTCCGAGTTGTCTTCTGTCTGTCGCTCGATCTGGCGTGGCAGCTGGTGAGCTACGTGGCGTAAGGGCTCGATGCTAACACACTCACGAACCAGACATGGGAAGCGCCGCCGGCACCTCGCCCGGCCGCCTCATCGAGACCAACGCCGACAACGACATCATCGGCCAGTGGCCCGAGTCGCTCGACAACCTCAATGCTCTCTCACAGCAGTTCTCGCCCCACGGCCTCTCGATTGACTGGCAGAACAACCTCATCCTGACGAGCGACTACGTCGTGCCCCTGTCGGTGCTCAAGCCATCGACGGGCATCCAGCGCGCCAACACACTGCGCCTCTGGAACCTCAAGGACCGCTCCATCCTGTCGACGATCACCATCCCCCACGGTGGCGGTATTCAGGACGTCAAATTCATTCCCGGCAACGAGGAGGGCGCCGCCATCGCCACGGCCGTCCACCTGGGCCAGGTCTGGATCATCTACCCGCGCCGCAAGGACGCTACCACGGGCCAGCAGGGCACTGCCGAGCTCCTCTACGACCTCGGGCCCAAGGCGCGCGACACGACGGCCATCTACACGACCTTTTCCCGCGACGGCCGCTACCTCTACGGGACCATCACGACGGGCAACCACATCTTTGCCCTCGACCTCAAGGACCTCAAGAACATCAAGCGGCTCGACGACCCCGACGAGAACCAAAACTCGCAGGGCGTGCCCGTCATTGGGCCCCACTTCCTCTCGCTCTCGCCCGACGAGAAGCATCTGATCGTGACCGACTACTTTGTGCGCACGGGCGACTTTGGCATCCTCAACACGCCGGGCAACTACTTTGCCCACGTGATCGACGTCGACCAGGACGATGGCTCACTCCACTTCAACCGGACGATCGACTTTGTCAAGCCCTTCTCTGAGCGCGGCGGCTCTCGGCCCCACTCGAGCGTCATCTACGACTTTAGCGGTCCTGAGCCTCGGTGGTCTTACTAGCTCCGACCGCGATGCTTACCCTGTTTTCCTGCCGAAAATCCATCTCACTGCCCTTTCTTTTATTCTGTGTGGAGAAAATCTATGGACCGCGGCCCACGTTTTGGACCCTGCCCCGAAGGGTCCGTGCTTTCTCTCTCTCCCGCCGCCGGGCCCACCAGACAGACCAGACCGTCACACTGCGATCGGCGCCGCATCAAGATCGTCGAAGGTTCCTCCTCTAGTCGCATGATTCTGTGCATTCCTGTTCATGTCATCAGTGCCCTCTCCTTTCCTGTTATAAGCCACCGTGCAAGCCTGATCTTTTCGAATTCAATCACCCCTTTTCGCACCACCCTGACCATGAAGACTTTTTCTCTCCTTCTCCTGGCCGGCGCGGCCGCAGCGGCACCGTTCTCGCTCCCCGATGGCTTCCCCAACCCGTCGCCCTCGCAGCTCATGAAGATTCAGTCCGAGGCCGGCGGCACGCTGCCCAACACGGCGCTGCCCACGAAGCTGCCTGCAGATGCGATCCAGAGCCTCCAGGTGATTGCCGTCAACGAAATCTTTGAGACGGCCTACTTTAGCTCGCTGCTCGACAACGTCACCAACGGCGTCAGCGGCTACACCGACTTTGGGGGCCTGGACAAGGCCTACGTCGTCAAGTCGCTCAAGGCCATCCGTGCCCAGGAAGAGATCCACGCCATTGGTGCCAACGCCATTCTGGCCAGTGCTGGCGGCAAGACGATTGGACCGTGCAACTACATGTTCCCCGTCTCGGACTTCAAGAGCGCCATTGCCCTGGCCGCCACCTTTACCGACCTCGTCCTCGGCACGCTCCAGGGCGTTCAGAAGACGTTTGCCCTCGACGGCGGACAGGCCGCCAACGGTCTCGTGAGCCTCGTGGGCTCGATCATCGGCCAGGAGGGCGAGCAGGACGGCGCCTACCGCCTCATCCAGAGGAAGACGCCCTCTGCGTCGCCCTTCCTGACCGCCGCTGCCGGTCCGTTTGCCTTTAACGGCGTCAACCAGATGTTCATCGTGCCTGGCTCGTGCAAGCCATCGAGCAACGTGTCGTCGATCCACATTCCCTCGTTTGACACGCTGAAGCTGGACGCCAGCAACGCCATGCCCGAGGCCAAGAGCGTCGGTGCACTCAAGTTCGACACCTCGTACGGCAAGGTCTCGAGCTCGTCCAACCACCTGGCCTACATCAGCGGCCAGAACAAGCCCGTGGTGGTGCCGATCAAGTCTGTGCACAGCAACGGCAAGAACTCGGCCACCTTTACGGCCTCGTTCCCCTACGACAAGGGCTTCTCCCACGGCCTCACCGTCGCTGCGCTCGTCGACAACGCGGGCCCCTTTGCCGACGCGGCCGCCGTCGCCAAGTGCACCGTCGCCGGTCCTGGTCTGATTGAGATTGACTAGTCCTTGCACTCCTCACCCTACCATGAACAATATCTCACCCCTAGCCCACATCTCCCCTTTGTCTTCTGCCACCCTCTTTACAATTGCATGCAGTGTTGCGATGCATCGCTATACAATATCGCCGTCTGAGGCTTGCATCGCTAACAATATCGCCGTCTGAGGCTTGCATCGCTATACAATGTCGTCGTCTGAGGCTTGATGTTTATCATCCCGCCTGTCGTCGCTTCGGGTGTGCAGATTGTGGCTGTACATCGGCGGCAGTCCCAAGGGGTCTTCACGAGAGCTAGATGCCACTGCTTGGCTTTGGGACCTGTGCTCATGGCCCTGGTGACCTTGCTGACCAAGACCTCTGGGCATCTCGTCCAGGAAGAGGGCTCCCCGGCGTCCGGACCGGAGGGCGTTGAGAATTATGACGGCATTTTGGGCCCACCAGTCCTCTTCGCTATTTCCATACAGGACGTACCAGCTCTTGTCTTGCACGCGTGCGTCGACGGCGCCCGGGAGACGCGCGAGGACGTCGTCCTTGCTGATGGGCTCGAGGCCCTCGTCATCGGCCGCGAAGGGCGTCTGGGACCATCGCGAAAGGGCCCACGTGACACCAATCCCTTCATGCACCGTGCCTCGGTCCTCGCACATCGGGAAGAGGGCAAAGGCCAAGGCGACAGGCAGAAGGGACAGCACCACAGCGAGCACGTTGATCGCGAGCGCCTTGATTGTGAAGAGGCCAATCATAAGGCACACCCATAATATGCCGCCGATGAAGGCGCACACAATAAAGCCATCGGTGTACATTTTGAAGCTTCTTCCGAGCAGGTTTCTCCGCCAAGTTCCTTCAATGGCGCGGATTGCGGCTGCAGGTTGCTTTGACTCGATTTGGATCTGTGCCGAGCGAAAGGCAGAATTGGGACCAAAGGAGGCAAGGAAGGAGCCCAGCCGAGAAGAGCTGCTTCCTGTCGCCTGGCTTTCGAGGCTATCGTTGATGAGATCTTGGAGCAGGTCCAGATCCCATCCGAATGCCGACTCTGGACAGACGAGATACCGGCTCGTGCTTGTGTCTGCCTGGACAAATTGAGCCACGGCATCGACTGCTGTCTGGCGGTTGGACTGGCTCGGCCAGGGAAACTTGCTCGTTGCAGGCAAAGCATCGGCTGCATCAAGGGGACGCTCGACTTGCGACGGCGACTCGGATAGTGGCTTCCACGGCGGGGCGAGACACCTCTTCCTTCGGATGTTCCACTTGCTGACTGAGCTGGCGTCTGCGGTGGTGACGTGCACTCGGCCTCGCGCCGTCCGTTCGACGACGCCGAGTGGCTCGCCCTGTGCGAGACTGCTCCACCCGCCCGTCAGGTCGCCGAGATACTTATCTTGAGCTTTTGAACGTTCAGTGGACAGCCTGCCTCCTCTAAGGCAGGGGGTATCATCTGCGAGTGCATACAGGCACCTCTGCGAGGCGTGTAGTGGAGGCAACGCAACGCGCAGCACAGCCTCGGCTTGTTCATAAGGTCCTGGCGAGCGCGAAGCGTAGAAAATTATGGCGAGGAAGAATTGAGGCGGACGCTTCTTGACAAGCTCGTCCTCGATATGCGAGACTGCGTCCAGGTCAGCAGAAGGCTCCCAGGCGCCAGAATCAGTCAGCAACCCACGCAGCGTTTCTGGGCTCCATGACCCATCGGAGCAGTCGAGCAGGGCATAGGCGGAGTGCGGAGCGCGCGAGATCGCTGGCACGTCGTCCTCTTGGGGCACGCGGCGGTAGGTGGACGCACGCCCGGGCATTCTCTTGAGCCACCACCAAGGCAAGAGAACCACCACCAAGGCAAGAGAACCACCACCAAGGCAAGAGAACCACCACCAAGGCAAGGAAACAACCACCAAGGCACGAGAGAAAAGGTGGAGATGTACTTGAGCTAAGAAACACGCCAGCCAGCCGAGCATCGGCGCCGATCAGGCTAGCTCCCACTTCCGACCTCGGACCACGTGTTCGTGCATCTCCGTGGGTCGCGGTGTTTCGTGCAGCGAAGCAGGCAGCAGGCTCTATTGCATTGTTCAGAGAGGAGGTGGTGGTAAGGCTACAGATATAGTCATGTCTGCTTCGAGCGCATCTTGCCAAAGATGTCCTCAAAGGACTGCGGCGAGCGGCCCTTGCTCGACAAAAGCTCCTCGAGCGGCGACTCCTGGATGTGGCAGAGGCCGTCCGGCAGGCTTGGGTAGGTGCTCACCCACCACTCCAGCATCGCCCGGTCCATGCCACGGGTCTGGACGTAGTGCTGCACGTACTCGTCTGGCGGGGTGGTCTTGAGGGAGCATCCCAGGGTGGCGGCAATATGGCCAAGGGGCAGCGCGCGCTGCTGCGAGAGGAATACAGTCTCTTCACGGAACCGATCGGCGGCCTCGGTCAGGACCAGAGCCGTCGCAAGGCCGAGATCGGCGATGCTCGTCCAGGAGATGGGGCCGTCGCCGGCGACAACGACATCCTTGCGTTCGTCGTCGTCGTCGTCGCCGCCGCGGTAGTGTCCCACGTACAGAGGCCAGCTCTCGCTGTAGAGGCCCTCGCGCACGATTGTGTAGCTGCGGAGCTTGCCCTGGCTGTGCAGGTCCCGCAGATAGCTCTCGGTGCGAAAGTGGGCGCGCATGACCCCGGCCTGCGAGCCGTCCTTGAAGGCCAACGAGGTGTAGACGATGCGGTCGACGCCGGCTGCGACGGCGGCATCGATGGCCGAGAAGTGCCGGCCCTCACGGCCGTTTCCGAGGGGAGCGTCGTTGAAGTCGAGCTCGATCTCGGGCGTGGACACGAGAAAGAGTGTGTCGCCCCTGCCGAGCGCCTGGCCAAAGGCTGGCCCGTCCTGGTAGCGCGCGTGGTGAACCTTGAGGCCGCGCTCGACGAGCTTCTGCACCCTGGGAGACTCTGGCGGGGAGCTCGTCAGCACCTTGAGCTGGTCTGCAGGTACGAGGCCATAGTCCAGCAGGGCGTCGAGAACGGCGCCGCCGATCTTGCCGGTCGCTGCGGTCAAGGCCAGCATGGTAGTGGTGGGCGTTGGAGCGCAGAACTTCTAGGCGCGTATTTAAACTCCACTTCCCAGTAAGCAGCCGTAAGCAGGCATTTCGGATCGCGGCCGTAAGGCAGGCATTTCACGAACGGCCGGCACTTCAGCAAACGATTGTAGGCAGACTTCTCAGTAGTCGGACACTCTAGTAAATGACCATAGGCAGGTTTTCAATGAAGGACCGCGGACAGAGATATCAAAAGGCGACCGCGGACAGGCACTCAGTAACAACCGTAAGCAGCAGCAAGACCGCGCCAGGCATAGATTCACAACGCCGGCCCATGTACAAAAGAACCTAATCATCGTGTCGGGGCAGCGCAAAGACGGGCTGTCGCGAGGTGCAGGTCAGTAAAGAGAAGCAGCAGCAAAGGAGCCTGCCAGATCACTCACAACCTTGATGCCCTCCTCCTGGTTGAGCACGGCCAGCGCCGTGTACCACAGCACGATGCCGACGACGATGAACAGGGCCCCGCATCCCTTTTGCAGCTCCAGCATCGGATAGTGGATGTAGTTGGCGCCGTTGAGGATGAGCGAGACGACGATGAGGAGCGCACCGCCGGCGACGGGCACGGCGGTCTTGAACGAGGCCAAGAAGATGAAAAAGACGGGAATCATGGCGCAGAAGAAGAAGAGCGAGAGGGCCTTGAGGAGGTCCAGCATGCCCTCCTGGACCGACGCAGCATTGCCGATGTAGGCAGCCTGGATCCCCGTCCAGGGCAAAAAGGCCAGAGACAGCCCACCGAGGAGGCCGCCGAGGACAGACGCAAAGGTGGCGATGTACGTGTTGCCCTCGGCATAGGCAAACATGGCCGCGACAAAGTTGCCGATGAGGCCGAGGGGCAGGCCAATGGCGAGGACGATGTTGAGCTGGGTGAAGTTGCGCAGGCCGAGCAGGACGGGCGCAATGAGCATGATGGTCGCCCCAATCGAGATGGCCAGCAGCGGAAAGGGGTTGCCGATCCGGCGGTGGTAGACGGGCGCGTGGTTCGTGTGGACCTTTGTGAGCCGGTGGCCGTTGGAGAATGTGTGCTCGAGCTGGTTGGGGTCTGGCCGGAGGCCAAACTGCTCCAGCAGGCTGGGCTTGGTGTACGGTTTCGACATGGTTGAGCAGTGCTTTGCGAGGGCGCGACTGGACCGTCCCCCCATGCCTGAGCCCGTCTTTAAATGCTGCGCCAAAGATCTATCGCGTCTGACACCTCGGGCGCACGGACAACGCCCGGATAAGCCACGGATAAGCCATCCAACCTCGCCCGGATAAGCCATCCATCCCCGGGACGTTTGCCAACATCCACGATAAGGGATGTTTGACAGCATTCACGGCAAGGAAGGGCCACACAACGACCGGAGAGAGGCCGGATAAGCTCGGACGAGATAAGCACCCCCTCGGGCACGGGAACATGGCCCCGGCCTTCTTAAGCGGCTGCTTTCCACGTCGGCTGCACCGCGAAAACAGCCCCACCCTGTCACACACAGCATGTCCACCCCCGACGACACAATCAAAGGCGGCGAGAGCGACAGCCAGGTGCACCACGACGACCTCATCGCCGTCGCAGCGTCGCACCGCAAGATTGCCAACCCGCTGCCGTCGGGCGCATACGGCTTCGCCACGACGTTGCTCCTCTTTTCGCTCTACACGCTCCACGTGGCCGAGATCGAGCTGTCGCATGGCCTTCTCACCATGTCGCTAACTTTCGGCGGCCTGGCTCAATTCTTTGCCGGCCTGTGGGAGTTTGCGAGCGGCAACACCTTTGGCGGCACGCTCTTTGTGTGCTACTCGGCCTTTTGGTGGGGCTACAGCATCATCCTCATTCCCTTCTTCGGCCTCACGGGCACCTACGACGGCCAGCCCAACGTCTACTCGCCCCAGGGCATGGGTGCTGCCGAGGCCAGCGAGGCCATCGGTCTCTTTCTGTGGATCTGGTTTGGCATCACAACGCTGTGTGAGTAGAAGTGTGCAGAGCCGGGCCATGTGCGAGAAGCACTGACGATGCTGCCTGAGCAGTTCTCCTCTCGTCGTTCCGAAGCAGCGGTGCTACTGTCGTCTTTCTCGTTCTGCTTGATCTGTGAGTAGTGAGCCCCCCCTTTTCTGGCTCTGCATTCACAGCTGACAAGACGGAACAGGACCCTGGCCATGCTCGCCGCCTACGGCTACACGGGCCACGCGGGCCTGGAGCGGGCGGGAGGCGCGCTCGGCGTGGCGGCTGCCTTTGTCCTCTACTACGTGGGCACGGCTGCCTTCCTGACAAAGAACACGAGGTGCGTCGCCCTGCCATTGTCGCAGTCACATCACTGGATACTGACAGTCCTACAGCTACTTTACGCTTCCCGTTGGAAAACTGTAATTAGATGAACCCTTGCCAGACGTGTTCCCTCCTTTCAAACTTGCTCTTTTTCTTCTTCTCTCAGCTCTTGCCCTCGCTGGTGCTAGCGCAGGATTTGACCGTCATGCATACACATCGACGCGGGGCATGGTCATGCCCCGGCTCAGCCTCCACTTGTTCGGTGTGACCGGTGTGACCACCATCGCCCGATCGCCGCGTGAGAGAGCGTTTCCCTCGACGAAAACACTAGCCCGGCACTCGGATCTCGGGACTAAGTCCTTACGCAAGCAGCTTCTCCATCGTGATTTCCCTCCGCTCGTGAATCCGCGCAGACTGCGATGGCATAAAAGCCCCGGTACTCTGCCGTACAAGGATTGAGAAGCTCGCGAGATCCAAGCACAATCACCATGGAGTACGACCTGGTCCTGTTTGGCGCCACGGGCTACACGGGCCAGCTGTGTGCAAAGTACCTCGCGGCCACGTACAGCAGCAAGAAGACCGACGGCGAGGTGCGGTGGGCCATCGCCGGGCGCTCCCGCCCGCGTCTCGAGGCGATGCGCGCTGCACTGAGCCTCTCGTGCGATGTGCTCGTCGCCGACACGGGCGACCGCGACTCGATCGACGCCATGGCGCGCCAGGCCCGGTGCGTGGCCAACCTGGTGGGACCCTACCTGCGCCTGGGCGGCGAGGTCGTCGTCGAGGCCTGCGTGCGCAACGGCACGTGCTACGTGGACCTCACCGGCGAGACGGCCTTCTATGCGACGCTCGTGGACAAGTACCACGAGGCGGCGCAGCGCACGGGGGCCATCATTGTGCCCTCGGCCGGCTTCGACTCTGTGCCGGGCGAGCTGACGGCCTACCTGGCGGCGCGCGCCCTCCAGCGCAGCGACCCAGACGACGAGATCGTCGATGCCTACGCGGGCATCAGCACTTTCGGCTGGTTCTCCTCGGGCACGCTCGAGAGCATCCTCGTCATGGCCAGCGAGGGCCGTGGCGACATGGTGCGCAGCAACCGGCCCGACTGGCTGAGCCCCGTGCGTGGAGGCCCCAGGCAGCAGAACAAGTTCGAACTCGCGCGGTACCACAGTGCCTTTGCGCGCTACGGTGCCTGGCTCTTCTTTGCGCCCCACAACACCCGCGTCGCCTACCGGGCCTGGGGCCTGGCCCGCACCGCTGCTGCCGACGCGCCCGTGCGCTACTCGGATGCGTACCAGTACCAGGAGGCCATCGTGACGCCGCTCTGGCTGCTGACCGTGGTGACGAGCATCGTCGTCAAGCTCTTTACCCAGTCCCTCGTCCTGTTCCCGCTCCTGCGCGCGGGCCTGAGTGCCGTGCTGCCGCGCAACGGCGGCCCGCCCGATATCATCAACACGCGCCTCGGCTTCATGGACGTGCGCACCGTCGTCACAACACAAAAGGGCCGCACGGCCGTGTGCCGGCTGTACTCGCGGGGCGACCCAGGCTAGTGGGTAACTGGAGCTTGCATCAAAGGAAATGCCAATGAAGAACTAACAAGCATGGAGAGCAGCTACGTTACATCACGCATGCTCATCGAGACGGGCCTGAGCATCGCACAGACGCCGCGCGACCAGCTGACGCCCCTGGCTCGTCGCGGCGGTGTCTTTCCCTCCAGCCTCGCTGCGGGCGAGGTCCTGGCGCAGCGGCTGCGATCCAACGCGCACTTCGACGTGTCCCTGACCTGACCTGACCTGACCTGACCTTGGGTCAAGCGCCAGAACGCGGCGTGCTGCTCCCCTCGCCCAGCGCGCGCTGCATGAGGACCGTGTCGAGCCAGCGCCCAAACTTCCAGCCGACGTTGGCAAAGGTGCCGACGTGCGCAAAGCCGTTGGCGGCGTGGAGCCGGATCGAGGCCGCGTTGCTCGAGTCGCCAATCACGGCCAGCGCCTGGCGGAACCCGCGCGCCACCGTCTCGTCGATCAGCGCCGCCAGCAGCCGCGTTCCGATGCCGCGCCCCCGGTGCTGGGCATCGACGTAGATGCTCACCTCCACCGTGGCGCCATACGCTGGTCGGGGACGGTGGGGGCCGGCGTAGGCGTAGGCCACGACGGCGCCGTCCACCTCGGCGACGAGGCAGGGGTAGTCCTGCGAACGGAGGCTTGCGAAGCGCGCCGCCACGTCCTCGAGCGACGGTGGCTCGACGTCAAAGGTGGCCGTTCCGTGCAGCACCGCGAGCCGGTAGATGGCCGTGATGCTGGCGTAGTCGCCGTCGCGGCAGGGACGCACCGCGAGGCTCATCGTCGTGTGCGGGAGCAAAAGTTCTTGTCCTGTATATTTCCACGTGGTAATTCTACAGTACATTTCGAGTCACAGATCACACGGGCACGGTCCGCTTGAGGAAGTCGAGGTGCACGGCCACGCCCTGTTCGGCGCAGTTTGTGTCCAGGCCTGGCTGGTAGACGCTAAAGTGATTCGACTGGCGGTCGCCCAGCCCCTGGTACTCTCCCCTGGGCGCACGCTTTGCCGCACGTGCCGCGGTCCACGGCGGACACAGCTCGTCCTTGCCCTTGATGGGCGTGAAGAGGATGGGGGCGGTGACCTTTGATGCACTGAGCCAGACTTCCGAGTTCAGCAGCTGGAGCAGGTTGCGGGCCTGCGCGTGGTTCGAATGTGGGAAGCTGGGTATTGGCCGTCAGCGAGGAGCATCTAAGAAAAGCGGCCGGACTCACTAGGCGCCCCCACTGACGCGCCAAAAGCCCTGGGGAACCTTGCCGGTGATCAGCACACCTCTGCTGAACTTCCTCTTGGCGCCCGTCTCTGGATCGCAATGCTGAGTGAAGCGACAGATGATGGGCTTGGTGCCGAGGAGTGAGCCTGCGCCGTCGATCAGCGCAACGACCGAGTACGCCATTGCCCAGGGCGTGAGCGCGCGCAGCTGGAGTCTGTGTCAGCTCGAAGTGAGTTGCAGGACCATCGGCCACCTCACCAGCGTGGCGTAGCCGCTCGTGTAGGGATTGAGACAGATGACGGCTGCGTAGGAGGACGGCGGGTCCTGTGAGGGCCAGTCAGTGCGTGCTCGTACTCAAAGACACGGTGTGCGATTCACCTTGGCAGCAACGGCGAGGCAATGGCCCGCGCCCAAGGAGGATCCCCAAAGGACGATTCGCTAGAAGGATATCAGTCGAATGCCCAACGACGGCTTCTGGGTACTGCACGCACCTTGCTGTCCACGTCGGGCTGTTGCCGGGCCCACCGGACCACGCTGCGAATGTCGTCCTGCTGTTCTTTGAACGAGACCCTGTGCTTGGTGCCTTGCGACTCGCCCCAGCCCCGGTAGTCGAACAGCAGTGTCTCGTAGCCTGCCGATGCAAATGCCTTGCTCCTCGTGTCAGCCATGCTTTCGAAAAGTGCCCCCCTCCAAGACAACACCCACCTCGGCATAGACCTGGATGCCATAGTCCTTTGTGCACGTGACTCCGTGGGCGAGGATGACCAGTGGAGATGGTGTGGCCGGCCTCGGCTCCGGCGAGATGCGCACGCCTGCGAGCTGCACCCCGGCTTCGGGGCTGGGGATCTGAACAGATTGGTGTGTCGAGCTCATGGCAACCGATGTTTCGATGGTGGACAGTGCTATGGGTCCCACTTGCTATGCCGTGGGCGCGAGCCTAGCACTAAAATCTGGAAGGGCAAGAAGCCGGGTCCGGGCCGGGGCCCTGGCTGTCCGGCTATTTTTTGGCCCGGGGTATAATTTGCGGCCCTGACAGCTCCCCTCCTTTCTCCGGCGCTCATGGGCCCACTCGGCCGACTGCATCGGAGATGAAGCGGGCTCCTGGACTGGCCGAGGAGCGGCATATACTATTGTTCGAGGCATGGGCACACACCAGGCGTGCTCTTAGATACAGTGGACGATGAGACTAGAGAGGAAGGAGCGCCGCTAAGTACCGAGCGAGAACGAGCAGTGGACGATGAGACTAGAAAGGAAGGAGCGCCGCTAAGTACCGAGCTCGCTCTCGCTCTCGTTCTCGTGCTCGTTCTCGTGCTCGCCCTGCGGGCCATATTCGCTCGGTACTTCAGGCTCTCTCGGCCCGCCATGCGCGCTTGGCAGTCCATGCTCGGTCGGCAGTCCGTGCTCGGTAGGCAGTCCGTGCTCGCTAAAGAGTGCATTCTGGAGGCCGTTTTCGTTTGTGGACTCATGCCCGTGCCCCGCACCTCCCTGGAGCATCTTGATCGCAAACTGTGCGCTATCTTCCTGTACTTGCGAATCGAACCCGTAGGCGACGTGAGTTGCAATCACGATGCCGCCGCCGCAGATGCTGTCGCCAGGGAGACAAATGTCCAGCGTCTTTTTCACCCACTGCTCTGGGATTCCTGGGCGGCCCATCCTTTTCTCTACGCCATCGGTGTCCCTCGTGCCCGGGACAGCGTTGCAGGACAAGCTCGCTGTTTTCCGGGGATCGCCGTGGAGGATGACAGCCTTTACGGCGTCAAATGCGGCGCCATCAGTGAGCTCTAACAGGGCGTCGACGACGGCGGCAGCGCCCTGGCTGTACCCCTCCAGGACGTAGCACGACTCGGTATCGGCGGTGATGTGTTTGATGATCTTTTGCAAAGCGTTTCAGCTTCTAGTCTCGTGGCGTATGAGGCTTGACTCACATCTTGCGTGCCCGCACTCGAGTCTTGGAAGATGCCGGCATCGTACTTGACGTCGTACACCTTTCCGCCCCCGACCTTGCCGAGAATCTGCTCGTTTGCCGCGCGAAAAGTCATCGTAGGGCCCTGGCGTTCGAAGGTGCCACGAACGTCCATGAGCGTGTACGAGGAGCAGGGCTCCGAGCCGCCTCCCGAGCCGCCCTTATAGCCGCCCTTGTGGCCGCCGCCGCCGTAGCTGCCCCTGTTGGAGCCCTTGCCGTGGTCACCCTTGCCGTAGCCACCCTTGCCGTAGCCACCCTTGCCGTAGCCACCCTTGCCGTAGCCACCCTTGCCGTAGCCACCCTTGCCGAAGTTGCCGAGGCTGACACCACCTCCTCCGAAACCAGGACCAGGGCCGCCGAGACCAGGACCAGGGCCACCGAGACCAAAACCGAAAGGCTTGCCGAACCTGTTGCCGCCGCCGCCGCCGCCGCCGAGGCTGTTCAAGCCAGCACCGAGAGCGTGACCAGCACCGGGATCGTGACCACCAGCACCGTAGTTGCTGCCAAGGTTGTTCATGAAATCACCGCGGGTAGGCGAGCGTCTTTTGAGACCGCCATGCGTAGGTCGGCTCCTGGGAGAGCTGGGGTTGTGACCGAGCGCGCTGGCTTCGCTGATGGCAATGAGGGCGCAGAGAAGCAGTTTAATCATGGTTGGGAAAGTGGCTTGTGAGGAGGGACTCGACAGTGACAATGCCCTTCTTATATGCACCATGGCTCGCATCGTGGAGCGCCTCCGTCTCGATGTGCCACCGTGCCACACACCCGTCGAGGGCCCCTCGCACGGTGGGACACCCCATCGCAAGGCTTTCCCACGGTGGACCACCCTCGCCGTGGGCCGCACTTCTGGTTCCACCGTACACCGCCTTCGCCACCGGCAGCCCTCTTCGGGGAACCGCAGGACGGCATCGTGGGCCATTCGCCGACGTGGGACGGGGTCGAACCTTTGCAATCCGCCGCCGTGGGACGGGGTCAACCCTTTGCAATCTTCCCACGCTGTCCGGCGGCCTCGTCGTTGACGCTGGGGGAGAGCCCTACTTTGTCCCGCGGAGGGTGGTGCCATCGTCCGCGGAACGTCTTTCGCCTACGGAGCGTCCCCCTATCATGTCAAGCGCCCGCAACTCCGCAGCCATTTTACCTAATCTGGACGGGATGCTGTCATAGCCAAGATGGAAATCGATAAAAATATCGCGTTTGCGTGTCCGATGTCACGACGGAGCAGGCGGCTCCCCTCTCAGCGTGCGCGCGCTCTCTCGGCAGCTGTGTCATTGCGTGGGCCTGCCACGGTGCAGCGAGCTGCTGCCCGGCAATTGCTCACTCCGCTGCCCTGTACTGGTCCCCGCGAGTGCTTTGGCATTCTCGAGCTCCGACAAGGCACGCCGCGAGACGCGTCTCTGGCCAAGGTGCGCGTTCTTTTTCTTTTTTTCTTTCAATCACCTACGACGACAACGACGACGCCCCTCTCGCTTCCCCTCTCTCTTCATCTCAAACGACCGCGGCTCCTTCTGCGTCTCTTTGCTCTTCTCTCTCTTTCGCTCGTGTCTGCGCTGCTGTCGTGGATGGCCCCCGTGTCTCGGACACGCCATGGTCGTCCCTCCCACTTCGATCCGGCGGGAAACGGAGCCTCGGAAACAGCAGGGAGCCTCGCCCGTCGGTCCCGCAGTCCGAGCTGCTGGGACGACGACGGTGTGTGGCTCCCTGTGCGCCCCCGCACCCCTTGGCGTCCATCATCTAGTACCCCGGACGATCCTAACCCTAAGTTTCTGCACCTTCTTCTCCGTCTGGAAAGCGGAGACTGCCCCCCGGCCATCGGCCAGGGGACAGCAGTGGCCATAGACGAGCAGCGCGGGAGCAGACGGGAGTGCTATGTCGTGTGTTGGCTTCCTGGGGCGCCAGTCTAGGGTCGGGACTGAAGGAGAGCGCCTTGAAAGTGAAGCCAGGCAGTGACTGCTTCAGCATGCCTTGTCGACAGGGCATTGGAGCCGTTGCGCATCAGTCGGCAGAGGGGGACCGTCCCGGTCGGCATCCGCCGGCGTGCCGTGCATGACCCCAGCGATGTGCTCCTCCTCTTTCTCTGGTGATCTCCGTCTGCTTAGTCACTGTCGACCGCGGTAAACAGGGGCGTGGTGCTGAGAGAGCCCAGCGTCGCTGCCTGGCTGGTCTTTTTCCTCTCCTTTCATTCGCTGCTCTTGGCTGCGCTCTCAAGCCGTCCTGTCATCTCCTCCCCTCTCCCCGCTGCTGTTCTCCCAGCAAGCGCGGGTGGGGCCACCCGCCTCGCAGCTCTGCAGGCCTTCCTCTATACGCCATCTACACACACAAGTATAGATCCACCCATCGTCCACCTCACACCTTGCTCGGTCTCTACTAGCCGCTCTTCGGAGCTAAAGTCAAGACAGCCACACGAGCCGACGACGGTGTCTGACGCGGGGCTTTCCGTCAGCAGTGCGAGCGCGCGCAAGAGAGAGAGAGAACAAAGCAGCTGGGAAGGCAGACGTGTCGTTCAGATGACCCACTTCCTCATCGAGAGGGGACGAGAGGTGCGAGCCGATGTACCCAAGCAGAGGGGGCAGGCGCGGCATCGACTGGGGACGCATGCATGGCAGTGAGTGCACGCCGACGAGTCCAGGACACTCTGCAGGCTTGGAGCAGGTACGCAGTCCCAGCGAGGCTCGAGCAGCGTGGTCTTTACCTCTACCTTTCGCCCGTCTCGTCAAGAGCAGGCGATGGGAGAGCGGTGCTTGGCACGGTCGCACAGACCTTCCACGTTAGAGCTACGGCTCGATTGGCTCGCCTTGCGGGGGGCGCTCTCCCCTCCTCTTCTGCCTGCGATCTTTTCTGAACTTTGTCGACGTTGCACTCGCCATCCTCACTTCGATGCCCTGCCCTTGCCCTTGCGCATTCAATTTTTCCTCTCTTTTCATCTCACACCACTCGACCCTCGCCGAGGGACGTGGTTCAATGGCCATTCCATCATCGCTCTACCTTCTGCCACGCAATACATGTAAACAAGCCTACTGCGACTGCGCCTGCTTGAGGCGCTCGTCGGCCGTCTTGAAGTTGATGACGTTCCAGATCGCCTTGAAGTAGTCGGCCTTTACGTTTTGGTACTGGAGGTAGAAGGCGTGCTCCCAGGCATCGACGCCGATGAGGGGCACGTGCGACAGGAGCGGGTCCTGGTTGGCCGTCGTGACAATGTCGAGCTTGCCGTTGGTGGGGTTGTAGCCGAGCCAGCCCCAGCCGCTGCCCTGGATGGCGGCAATCTGGCCGTTGAACTTGGCCTTGAGGTTGTCGAGGCTGCCAAAGTCGCGCTCGATGGCCTCCTTGAGCGGGCCTGCGTGCAGCTCGCCGCCGCCGGCCTTTTGCGGCGCCAGGTTCTGCCAGAAGAGCGAGTGGTTGATGTGGCCTGTAGAATTGCATAGGTCAGCAAGCAGCAGGCCAAAGCGAGAGACTATGGCACCCACCACCGCCGTTGAAGTTCAGGGCCTTCTGCACGGCAAGCGCCTTCTTGACGTCGTTCTTGGCCACAGCCTCCTGCAGCTGCTCCTCGGCGGTGTTGAGGCCGTTGACGTACGTCTGGTGGTGCTTCTGGTGGTGCAGCTCCATGATCTGGCCAGAGATGGACGGCTCGAGGGCCTGGCAACGTGCGTGTCAGAGTCATGCAGCAGAGGGAAGGAGCGGCAGGGAGCGAGTGCACTCACGCCAAAGTCGTAGGGCAGGTCCGGGAGCGTGTGCTTGGCGCGCACGGAGCCTGCGGCGGTGCGGAGGCCAGCAGAGGCGAGCGCAGGCTGCGCCGTGCGGGTGAGGGCGGTCCGGATCATCATGCTTGCTTGCTTGCTTGCTTGCTTGCTATTGGTCTTCGTGAAAGATCGTTGTGAATGGAGGAAGATGCAGGTGGAGGGCCGACATCATCGGCTATAGAATTCGAGTTTTTTCACGTGACCGCAGCGTCGCGATGGAGCATCACACGTCGGTGTTCTGCGTGCGGTGTTGTGCGCTTTGGTCAAGTCGCCTTCTTCTTCAGCCAGCCCTTTGAAGAATTTACACCCACGCCATGGAGCTTGTACCCCCCCTTTCACTCGCTGCATGCCTGCACCCTCAGGGCAGTCAGCCCGTCAAGACGCAGCTTAGCTCAACGTTCGATTGCTGCTGTCGTGGTTGTTGCCAATGTGGTTGTGGCAGCATTGGCGTCGAATGTCTGTTTCTCCAGTCAGATGCAACGGCGCCTTCCGCTACGGCTTGAAGCAGAAAGTAGCCTTGCTTCTGCTGACCCTGTCCCGGGCCCTGTCAAGAATGGGCATGACTCGCGTGCGGACGGATACACAACGCGCAGGGTTGAGCAGCCAGGGAGAGACACTTGTCGCATGACGGCCAGACAGGATCGAGGTTCTGGCGATGCAGATCGGTTGGCAGCGGCACATAGCCAAAGACGACCTCAGGGCCTCGGGAATGTCTTCATTCCTACAATCATGTGGCAGCAGCTGCGCCTTCACCTTGTAACTTTATTCCATCCAAGTCAAAGTCAACATCAAGGCAAAGCCAATCCGCAATTTTCATCACTTAAATGACGACGCCTTCCTCCGTTCTCCCACTCGGCGTCGTGCTGGTACTCTCCTTGCAGTCCGTCGTACACCCGCACGCTAGGGAGCAACGGCAAGAAATGAGCAGCGCCATGGGCGATGAGACAGCCAGGCTTGAGACGGATTTCGGCACGAAGAAGTTCCGGGAGACCAGCATCAGCCATGCCCACCCTCGACCACTTCTGGGTGGACGAAATCCGAGTAGCGACCAACAAGACCTTCTCCAGCGCCAATGGTGACAGCAGCGCATGTGATACGCAGATGCGACGAGTAGTTCGGGCTTCAATCGTTTGCCTCACGATCGCCTCGCACGACTCGTCAGCGAGCTCCATGCAGCAGTCCGTCGCGTCACCGTTCTCCAAGATCCATTCGCGCGCCTTGGTACGCCGAAGATCTCAGAAGAAAGATTTGACTTATGGCAAGATTCAGTGTCCCATCCGATCTGCCGAGCACAGTGTCTAGGAGGGACGAAGGGTATTCAGAATACTGGAAGCCTTCTAGGCAGGACGTGGGTCCTCTGGGAAGCAAGGACTCCTGGGTAGATAGAGTACGGGACGTCTCGATTCCAGATACTTCTTCCCACGCCCAGACGAGTGGGAAGGTGCGCCTTCTAACTCTGCCATGCCTACCTTTTCAAGGTAAAGTAATTCGCCTCTTTTCTATGCCGGGTATCCCGGCACAGTAAAGCAAAGACTCCATGAATCTAGACTTTGTGCATCGACAAAGCTCAGCAAGCCCCCGGGGGGCGAAGAGATTCACCGCAGACTGCTCCCTTAGCCTAAGCGTCACGAGTCGCATGTGTCCCTGTTCAGAGATAGCGGCACAAAGCCAGTGCAAACTTCCCTTTGGTCCAGCCGCTCGGTCGTGGATGTTTCCGCTCGCTGTAGGAGAGATCAGCTCTTGTCTTCAGAATTGACCTTTTCGAACGTACTCTACGTGAAGAGCCCCACACGACGGTGGGTCTATTGAGCCAGGCCATTTGTCCGCTTGTTTCCCCAGAGAAGGTGACACGGGCCGCGCCCTCCCCGATGCGACGGACTTTGAACCTAAAAGCAAATCGGACCGATAGGAAGCCTAGAATCCTGGTGTCGTCCCTAAAAGCGGGAACCCACGTACTGTACGATTTGACTTTCCCCGCATGAATATCGGGAAGGTGGACGGTGTCTGCTCACTGTGGGGCGTAGCATCGGACGCGCTGCCTTGCAAGGCGCCACGGCTGCAGCATGCCTGTCTATAAATACACGCTTTATGTCATAAAAGCAACGGCGCCCGTTCAGAGACACACTCAGCCTAGAGGAAGACGCTTCACAAGCAACTCAACAATGTCACCTCCTCACGCGGCAAAATGGATGCAGACGCACCGCGCACAGTTCGGTAAACGCCCGCTCAGTGGTCTCACCCTCCCTGGATCGCACGATGCGGGCACGTATCAAATTAAGTTTGGCACAAGTGCTGCCTTGGAGTCCCATGTCATCACCCAGGAAAGATCGATCTATGATCAGCTTGGCTTGGGTGTTCGTAGGTTCGACATCAGACCCACGCTCGCTTCCGAAAATGACGAGACAAAACCTTCTTGGAATTCTGGACATTACAGCAACACCACGATCGGTTGGCAAGGCGCTAGCTGCACTCCCATCGATGACATCGTTGTCGACGTCAACAATTTCACCAGCGAGAATGCCGAATTGATCGTCTTGGATGTGTCGCATGTCCAGGCATTCCAAATTCACACCGTGATAACAGACCAACGAGGTGCCAGTGAAGCCGATTGGCTTGATCTGATGGAGAGGCTGTCCAAAATCGAGAGGCTCTTCACGATGGACCCACCGGAACGCAACAAGAAGGCCCTTCAGACCTATGACGTCGATACCTTCATCGGAAACAACAAGGCTGCAGTAATTGTTTTGGTGGAGGACTGCCCTTACCCAGATCAGCTATTTGCACATCGCTTGTGGCCCAAAACAATGTCCAACGGCCAGGAATTTCTCGACTCGTCGGGCACATCGATTAACCGTCCACAGGACACAGAGGATGCTATTTTCGCGACGTTGAAGACACCGCTCGAAAGTATCTTTGGAAACTCTAGCTCCGCCCTGAGCATTGCTCAAAAACTTCAAGAGGAGAAATTCCCCGATGTGCTCCAAAAGGCGATCGACGGTCTGCCTGCAAACCTTGCCACCGATAGGATCATCAATGCTGATCTCCTGACGTTCTGCATTGCGATCATGTACCTCAAGCTCAACATCGCCCAAGGCTTGGATGGCAACAAGATTGTCGTCTATGGCGGTGCCCTGATCACTGATGCAAAGGTGCATGACCGAATTCAGCAGGCGATCGACAAGGGCACGTCGTTCGAGGTGTCAAACGACAATCTCGGCACCGATCCCTGGCCAGGCCTGAAGAAGTCCTGCGGCGTGTATTACAAACAAAACGGGCAGATCAAAGGCCGATGGGCACCTGAATTCTCTGCCCTTCTTTTTAGCTAGCCCTTCCCTGATCGAGGTCGTGTCTATGGACACTGTTGCGCCACTTCTTCCGCCCTTCTTTGTATTTAGTCTAAGGCACGTGCCTCAACTTTTGGTCGCCTGCCATTCTTATCACTGTGTGTGGAGGCAGAACAGCGCGTGTGACTGCCTCCATCCTCTGCGCTTCACCAAGATGCTGACGAAGATTGAGCTCAACTGCGATGTGAGTCATCGCTGCTTGGTGGAGAATCATCGCTGACGGTTCTAGCAGATGGGCGAGTCGCTGGGCATCTGGCGCCTGGCCCAGGACGACAGCATCATGCCCCACATCGACGCGTGCAACGTGGCCGCGGGTTTCCACGCCTCGGACCCCTCGACACTGGCACGGACAGTGGCGCTGGCACACAAGACGGGGACTGCCATCGGCGCCCATCCCGGCATGCCCGATCTCGTTGGCTTTGGTGAGTGTCTGAGGCACTCGCTGGCGTTCATGCGCTCACGTTGCTGCAGGCAGGAGGCCGATGCTACTGACGCCCGAGGAAGTGGCCGACATTATCACCTACCAGGTCGGCGCCGTGCAGGCCTTCTGCCACCGGTCGGGCGCCCAGCTGAGCCACGTCAAGCCGCACGGCTTTCTCTACTTTTATCTGCTGCAGAAGCAGGAGATCTGCGAGGCAGCGGTCCAGGCCATCAAGGTCTTCAACGTGCCGATGTGTAGGTTTGACAGACGGGCGACTGGAGACGCCAGCTCACACGCATTCGCACAGACGGGCTTCCCGGCACGATTCACGAGTCGGTCTGCAAAGAGCACGGCGTCGAGTTTGTGCCCGAGGTCTTTGCTGACTGCGAGTACACATCCGGTGGCGACCTCGTCTCGCCCACAAAGAGCAAGCCCATCAGTCCGCAGGAGTGCGCCGAGCGCGTGCGGGTCGTGGCGCACGAGGGCCGCAACTATGCCCAGGGGGGCAGCCAGGAGCAGGCAAGCGTGGACATGAAGCTCGACGGCAGGCGCTTCTCCGTGTGCCTTCACTCGGACCTGCCGGGCGCCGTGGAGAACGTCCATGCGGTGCGCGAGATGATCGATCGTCTGAACAGCAGGGCCGCGTGACCATGGGCAGGATTTCGATGGAATGGGCACTTTTCTCATTGTCGCTCGCTTCACTCTCTTGTTCTTGGTGCTCTGAGAGGCGCATGTGGCTGGAACATCTCAAAACATGTATAGTAATTGTATCTGCAGAGGGGCAGCAATGTATGTACAGCGGCAAAGTTCAGTGGCAATGCACAGCGGATTTACAGGGGCGACTACAAGGGCAGGCCAACAGCGACGACGTCGCCCGTGGACACGAGCGAGCCAGGCTCGACGATGACCCTCTTTACGACCATGTCACTGTCCGCCTTGCACGGAATCTCAGTCTTCATGGCCTCCAGGATGACCACGGGGCCGCCCTCTTTGATCTGCTCATCCACCTGCGCAACCACTTTCCACACCGAGGCATTCATGGCCGCCTTGATCTTGATCGCCTTTGGGTCTCGCTCCCAGTCCCACGCTGTCGTGTCGTGGCCCGAGCTGCTCTGCTGCTGCTGTCGCTGCTGCTGCTGCTGCTTCTGGTCGTGCTGCCAGTCCTCGTACATTTGCCTTTCCTGCTTTTCGCTGCGCGCAATCGCCTCGCTCTGCTTGGCCTCGTACTGGTTCGCTGCCTCTGCAATCGACGCCTCAAACTGGGCCTGTTCCACGACGTCAAAGAGCTTGTCCTCGACCTCCCACTTCCAGGTGCCCGCCTTGAGGCTCGCGAGCGAGCGGTCGTACTCGTCGACGGTCACTTTGTGAAACTGAATAGAATCAAACGAGCTCAGCAGCCAGGGCTGGTCGGGCTTGAACCCGGGCGCAGTGCCATACGTAGACCACAGCGGCAGTGTCCTGGCCACGAGCTGGTAGCCGCCGGGCGACTCGACGCCGTAGATGGCCCCCATGCTGCCGCCCCAGCCAAACGCGCCCTCGGGCGTCGAGAGACGGGTGGGGTTGTACTTTTGGCACCGCAGCCTCGTGCGCCGGTCCTGGGAGAGCAGGATGGGCGTGCCGAGGAAGAAGCCGATGCCGACGGTCCACAGCGGGCACGTGAGCAGGCTCTCCTCCATGACGCGCTCGTCGAGGCCGTTGCACTGGGCCAGATAGGCCCGGTTGTCGCTGCCCGGCGCAGACTGGTCGAGGTAGACGGCCTTGTTGCGCACCGTGGCCTTGTAGCGATCCACGGCCGCGCCAAGCGCCGGGTGGCCAAAGCAGAGGGGCAGGTGCCAGGTCCTGCACGGGAGCTTCTCCATGGCCTCGAGGGAGCTGGGCAGCTGCGCGCCGACTTCGACTACGCGCTCGACGAGCTGGCGCTGCTGGATCAGCCGGGGGTCGAAGCGGATCGAGAGCGTCCGGATGTTGACGTCGACGTAGAGCACGCCCGCCATGGGTCGCTTCTCGAGTGTGCGCCGCATGAGCTCCACCTTGGCCCGCACGATGATGTCGGCCCGCATCTCGCCCAGCTCCACCAGCAGGCAGCAGTCGCCGGCGGCCCGCAGGGTCATGACCGAGTCGCCCAGCGCCGTCTGGTGCAGGATGGGCGAGACGTCGGGCTGGTCGGACAGATGCATGCTTAGCGGCTCGATGTCGCTTTGGTCTGCGCGGGCCGCGGAGAGCACCTGGGCGATGTATGCGTCCTGCCGCCTGCTCAGCTCGCGGGCGCCCTCAAACGTGATCGGGGTCCACTGGATCTTCAGGCCGGGCGAAAGCTGCCCCAGGCGGTACTCGGCCGACACTGTCGTGCTGCTGATGAGCAGGCCGCCCAGGTCTGGTCCGTCGACGCCCAGCGCGACGGGCGTGTCGCCGTTCCAGTTGAGGCCGCCGACGCTGTAGGGGAACTCGAGGATGTTGCTGGGGTGGCTGCCGCCCTGGCCCCCGTCCTGCCGTGCCCACTGCATCTCTCCATCGGGGGTGAATCGGATGCCGGACCGCGCCACGTTGTGGCTCACCGTCATCGGTCTCTGGTAGATGGACGCGCGCCCTGCCGGCGTGAGGTACTCGTCGTCGTCGTAGGGTCCGCGCATGCAGTAGACGGTCGTCGGCCGGCTCGTGTCGGCGCTCACCAGCGGTGGGCGAAGTAACTGGGGCAGTGTAAAGGTTGCCTCGTCGCCACCGCCCTGCAGCGGCGCCAGGCGCAGCACGTCGCCGGTCCGCAGATCGCGGCCCTGGTGGCCGCCGAGGCCCAGGCTGGCACAGGTCGACTTGGAGCCGAGGTAGCGCGGGACGTGTGGCAGGCCATGGCGGATGGCCAGGTAGGCCCGGTAGCCGCCGTCCCCCCTGAGGTTGCCCACGCGCAGAACAGACTGCGGCGGGACCAGGATCTTGGTGAACATGGCTTGGGGAACGTCGTCGAGCCAGAGCTCCATCGCGGCACCGGTCAGGGCCACGACGGCGGCGGTGTGGAAGCGCAGGCTGGGCCCCTGCAGCGTGATCTCGAGCGCCTCCGTCCTCGTGTCGTCATTGCCCACAATGGCATTGGCCAGTCGGAAGGAGAGCGGGTCCATGGGGCCCGAGACGGGCAGCCCATGGCCGATCTCGGGCCGCCCAGGCAGGTCCTGGACCGACGTGGAGAGGCCGTGCTCCAGCACCTCGAGAACGGCGGGCTGAAAGCGAAAGTCCTTTTGGAGGAAGCTGGTGAGCGTGCGTCCCGAGGCAAAGACGTCCGAGGCAAGCACCGCGATGAGAAAGTCGACATTGGTGGGGCCGTAGACGTCGGAGCGCTCGAGGAGAGAGGAGAGCGCGTTCCGTGCGTCGTCTCTGCTCTTGCCGAAGCCGATTACCTTTGCCAGCAAGGGGTCGTAGGACGGCGTGACTGCTGTGCCTGTGCTGACCCAGCCGTCTACACGATGCTGGCGCGGGTCGTGCTCCCAGCGCACGCTCTGCAGCACGCCCGGACTCGGCTGGTAGTCGCGCAGCGCGTTCTCGCAGTAGACGCGCGCCTCGACAGCGTGGCGCGGCGGCACGTCGTCCTGTTCCAGCGCCTTGAGCACCTCTGCCGGGATGCCACCGCGTCCCTGCAGCTGGCAGTCGGCCTGCTGGAGCACTGGAGACACGTGTGAGTGTAAGTGTTACTGATGCGGTGGAGAAAGAGGAGACGCACTCAAAGCCACAAGATCCACGTCCCACACGATCTCGGTCACAGGATGCTCGACCTGGAGCCGGGTGTTGACCTCGAGAAAGTAGAAGCGGGCGCTGTCGTCGTCGACGAGGAACTCGAGCGTGCCGGCCGACCGGTAGCGTGCATGGCGACCAAAGGCGGTCGCGCAGCTCGTCATCTTCTCGCGCAGGCCTGGATTGGCCGCGACAAAGGGCGACGGCGCCTCCTCCACGACCTTTTGGTGGCGCCGCTGGATGGAGCACTCGCGCTCACCAAAGTGCGCCACCTCTCCCAGGCCGTTGCCAAAGATTTGGATCTCAATGTGGTGGCTGCGCTCCACGTACTTTTCCAGGAAGCAGTCGGCGTCGCCGAACAGCGTCCTGGCCCGGCGAACAACGCCCTCATAGGCACTTTCGACGTCTGCAGCCTCCCGGCAGATCTGGAGGCCCAGCCCGCCGCCGCCTGCACTGGCCTTGAGCATGACCGGGTAGCCGATCCGCGCGGCTTCCCGCACGGCCTCGTCGGCCGAGTGCAAGAGGCCGCTGCCCGGCACGCATGGCACACCGGCCGCCTCGGCCAGCTGCCTGGCCCGGTGCTTTAACCCGAGCTCCTCGATGGTGTCGGGCGCTGGGCCCGCAAACACAAGCCCGTGACGCTCGACCAAGCGCGCAAACTCGGCGTTCTCCGACAGGAAGCCGTAGCCAGGGAGGATGGCCTGGGCACCATGCTGCCGAGCAGCGTCGACGATGGCCTGCTGGTCGAGATAGCCCTTGCCGTCGGACTCCTTTCCGTCGAGAAGAACGCTGACGTCGGCCTGCGCGCGGTGCGGTGCGCCCTCGTCTGTCTGCGTGTACACGGACACTGTCTTGAGGTCGAGTGCCTTTGCGGCGCGGAGCAGCCTGAGTGCGATCTCGCCGCGGTTCGCCACCAGCACCGCGCGAAGCTTGCCGGGCTGGAATTGGCCGCGGCTGGCCGTGAAGCCGGACGGCGACCAGTCCTGGGACGCCATTCCGAATGCTGGTGCGTCGCTTATGTCTGTAGGCGAGATAACGAGTTGTGGGGTGGTCTATCTCTGTGGGGGGACACATCGGCCGACGCGCCGCGCTCGGGCCATCTTGTGTCGCGCTCTCTCTCATCCGCATCAGCCCTGTTCTGATGGGGCGTAAGATCACGCAAGAAGAGAGCCAGGCATCAAGCAGCGACCCCCTCTATGTCCGCGCCATCGCCTCGAGCTAAGTCAGACTGCATAGCTCAGACAGAAAGTATGGAATTACAAACGGGAATCACAGAAAGTAAAGGTGATCTAGATTGCTCAGACTGCGTCGTGGCGGAGCTGAGGCTTGTTGACCGGGTTGATGGGTGTGCCTGCCTCGAGAAAGGCCCGCACGTTGGCCAGCACGTACCCCTCGCCCCGCTTGATCGTCATCTTGGAGAAGCCACCCCAGTGTGGCTGGACAGTGACGCGGTCGCAGGTGAGCCAGAACGGGTTGGGCCGTGGCTCGTTGTCAAAGACGTCGAGGCCGGCAGCGGCAACCTTGCCCGATTCGATGGCGGCGATGAAAGCCGCCTCGCCGAGCACGGCGCCCCGAGCAGTGTTGACGATGTAGACGCCGTCCTTCATGATGGCGAACTGGTCTGCGCCGATGGACCCCTCGGTCTGTTCGGTGAGCGGGCAGTGGATGGAGAGGACGTCGGACGTCTTGAGGAGCTCTTCAAAGGACACGTACTCGGCCCCACCAGCCTCGAGCTCCTGCTTGGGCGAGAGCCGGGACCGGTTGTGGTAGATGATCCTGCGTGGGGGAAAGGCACCGGCAATCTTCTTGGCAAATGCCCGTCCAATCGCACCCATGCCGTAGATGCCCACGGTGAGCGCCTGGGGATCGTCCATGAGGGGCAAGCCCTGCCGCCAGTGGCCGCTTCGCATCGTCTGCTCTGTCAGTCGAGCCTGGCGCAGCGCCGAAAGAAAGAGGAGCAGGGCCATGTCGGCCGTGCCCTGCGTGGGGCCATCGGGCGTGTTGGTGACGTACGCCCCCCTCTCTGCTGCCCACTCGAAGGCGACGTCGTTGTAGCCGGCGCCGCCCGAGGCCAGCAGACCGCATCGTCCCGAGGCAAGGACGGGCGTGAGCATGTGCTCGTCAAAGGGCGAGTAGGCGCTGGTGCCAAAGAGCCAGAACATGGCATCGTAGCCACCGTCTGCGGCTCGCGCGGCTGCGGCCTCGTGGATGCGCTTGACCGTGTCGTCGCGGTCGCTCGGATGGGGCAGCACCACGTCCACGTCGTATGACTTGCAGAGCTGCTCGAACTCGGCCACGGCGAAGCGAGGCGTGCCCAGGGCGAGGACACGCTTCTTGGTGACTGTGTTTGTGGGCATTTTGAGGTGTTTGTCTTTTGGGAGAGTGGGCTGGTTACAAAGATTGCAGAGACGGACGACGGCCCCTCTTTATAGCATTTTAACACCTTTGGCCAGCCTATCCTGCAGCGCCACTAAGCTCAGTATGCTTGCGAGCTAGCTCGCTACAGAAACTTGCCTTCAATCAAGTGAGAAGGCGGCCGGCTGATGCGGGCGCGCGCGTCCTGCACGAGCGGAAACGCCGTCTGTGCAGCATCCACCTGACACGGATGGATGAACTATTCGCCAAGAAAAGGGTCCGCTTATCTTTCCTGGTTCTCGGCCCGATTAGACTCAGACTGAGATGCTTCAGGGACCTCGTCGATAAAAGGCTTTACGTGCGCGTGCAGCCTTTTACGTGGGCTTGCAACACACCCTCGAGAAGCGACAATGCCGTCCTCGAGCAAAGCGACGCAGACGGTCAACATCGTCGGCGCGGGCGTCTTCGGCCTGTCTTCTGCGCTTCACCTGGCACTCGACGGCTTTCAAGTGACGCTGTTCGACCGCAACGACCTGCTGGCGACCCAGTACAGCAGCGTGATCAACGATGGTGCCAGCTGCGACATGAACAAGATCGTCCGAACCGCCTATGGTGGGGACACACTGATCCAGTCGTGGGCCAATGAATCGCTGCGGGAATGGCAGAAGTGGGACGAGGAGCGGCGCAAGGCGGGCAAGGAGGAGCCGTTACTTGACCTCTGCGGCTATGCGCGCCTGGACAATGCCCCGCAGCATCGCAGCTACGAGGCAGGCCATCTGGCGTACTGCGATGCCAATGGCACACGGCACACGCAGTACGACCTGACGCTTGACGAGGACCAGCGACGGGCCGCCCGCGACGGCTGGGCCGCCAAGATGGACGCCTTCACCAGACCAAAGGGCACCATCGGCGTGCTCGATTCGACGGCCGGCGTGGTCAGGGCGGCAGACGCTTGCCACTACCTGGCACGGCGCCTTGCCGACGAGCTGGGGGTGCGCTTCGTCACGGGCGAGACCCAGGGCCGCTTTTCGCACTGGTTGGATGGGAATTCCACCTCGTTTGTGACGGCAGACGGACGCACCCACCACGCCGACCGCGTCGTCATGGCACTGGGGCCCTGGTCGGCTGAGCACGTTCCCGAGCTGCGGCCGAACCTGGAGGCCACCGCCGGCAGCGTCATGATCTTTGAGATTGATGCCGAGCGCACGGACCTACTGGCCAGGCACGACGCTGCCCACATGCCCATCCTTCACATCAAACCCGGGCATGACATTGAAGTCGAGTCCGACGGCGGTGTGTATGCGTTCCCGCACCAGGGCGGTCTCCTCAAGATTGGCTCTCGTGGCGTCCGCTATACGAATCCGAGCCACGACTCGCTGCCCTACTCCCGGCCCATCACCTCTGTCACCTCGCCGTCTCTGGCAGCCGTGCCCCGGCCTGCGGCGATCGGCGTGGCCAGGTTCATTGCCAACCACTTTCCACATCTGGTCGAGCCGGACGAGTCCAAGGGCAACGCGCTGCCGATCAAGCTCGTGCGCACGAGACTCTGCTGGTACACGGACACCTATGACAAGAACTTTTTCATCTGCGAGCTGCCCTTCCGGCCGGGCGTCGTGCTGTGCACGGGTGGAAGTGGCCACGGCTTCAAGTTCCTGCCGGTGCTGGGACAAGTCACGCTCGATGTGATCAAGGGACGACAGACTGCCCTCACGGATCGCTTCCGATGGCGCACCAGGCCGCAGCAGGCGAGAGAGGCAGTCACAGCGCACAGCAGCCTGCTCTACGACCATGATCTCATTGCGGCTGCCAACGTGCCTGCCGAGAGGCTCTTCCAGGCGGCTGTTACACCAGCGGAGACGCAAGCTCGTCTATGATCTCATCTGCCAATTTTAATTCTTTTCCTTGCTTTGCTCGAGCCTGTCGGTTCAAAGTTTAGCGCTGAGCATGTTGAGGAAAGGCTGCGCTTGGAGAGGGAGGCACGGATGTCCCGCTCGAGCATGAGACAGCAGGTATTTGCTTGCAGGCAGAGACGGCTAAGCCGCGCGAGGATCGGCCCTCGCCGGTGCTTTTTTTTCTTAACTTGTGTCTCCTATAAGATCCATGTACCAGCTTTGCATCATGATCAGGATCCTACAAGTCTGTCGATGAGAACGGGTAGAACATCGCCTCGCACAAAGACACAGAGCGGATGGCGGTCTACGATCGTCTGAGCGCGAGCGAGCGCCGAATGGCGGTGGCCCTGGCCGCCCTTTTCGGCTTTCTCGGACGTGAGTGCAGGACGTCGCCCTCGCCGGTTCTTATATACTGACACTGAGCTTCAGCATTCACGAGCACGTCCGTCCTACCGCTGGCGCAGTCGATGGCGCTCACCCTAGAAGCCACCGAGCAGGACGTCCGCACCTATGCCGTCGCTCTCTTTGTTGCCGTGATGGGCGTGGCGCCTCTGCTGCTGGCCGCTGCCTCGATGGCTTTGCCAGCTTCCCTGTTCGTCTTTCCGGTCACGACGACCAGAAGAGATTCACGTCGCAGCAAGGCACAGGCGACTGGCTCGGCTGCCGTGCTGTTCTTGCCTGTGCTCTACATGCTGGCCTCTGTGCTGCTGGCCAGTGAGGCGACGACGTCCTCCATCGCCGCCCTGGCTGTGCTGCGCTGTATCCAGTCGCTTGCCATCTCCCCCTTTCTCTCCCTGGGCGCTTCTACGATTCGACAGCTGTACTGTGTCAAGAGCGAAGCGCGTGGAGCGGCACTCGGATGCTTCTATGCCGGCGCTGTGGCTGGACCGACTGTGGGCCCCTTTGTCGCCGGTTGTATCGGACTCGGGGGTATCCAGGCCTGGCGAAGCCTCTTCTGGCTGCAGGCGGCCTTGGGCCTTTTCGCTTCTGTCATGCAGATCGGTCTCACCGTGCGCTGTCAAAGGGCAGAAAACCGCAGCGAGGCCACAGAAGAGCAGCGAAGCGAGTGCCAACTTCCCGAAAAGCCAGTCCAAAGCAGGACGGCCGCTGTCAGACACGCGCTAGGTTGGTCATTCTGGCTCGTGACCCTCTCGTCCTGCGCCTCGATGTTCGGCCTCTTCCTGGCCTTCAACACACTGACCCAGCTCGTTCGGAATCGGTTCGACATTGGCAACAGCGCAGCCGTCGGCGCACTGTTTCTTCCCGGCGGTGCTTCGTCGATCGTATGCTCCGTGCTTAGTGGCGCCTGGTCGGACAAGCTGCTTCGGCCAAAGCACGAGATGGCACCAAGAGAAGAGTGGCGGTCAGCACATGCTTGGACTAGATTCGCCTCGGCCTGCCGACCCGCCTCTTCCACCTACGAGCGCAGGCTGATTGTGGCAATTACGGGAGCGGGCGTGATGCAGCCGGTGGGTCTCTTTCTGTACGGCTGGCCATCGCACTCGGCCTGCAAAACCGACGCATGCCAAGGCGGGCTGCTGCTGCTCACCGAGGTTGGCTTCTGCCTGCTGTGCGGTGGCGTGTCCATGACCCTGACGGCAGGAAACGCCTATCTCGTCGACATAGCCGGCAGCGCATCCGTCGCGCAGCGGGTCATTGCCCTGAACAATCTCTTTCGCTATGCACTGGCGGTTGCAGCCAGTGCTGGTACAGCGACGCTGCTCCGTACGCTGGGCCTCTCCCTCTCCTCGACGGTGGCGGCTCTCGCCAGCCTGGTCAGCATGACGGCGCTCGTCGTCGTGGCTTCTCAAAAGCGACATGCCATTAGCATGTATTCGTAGCTGCTCTTCATAGCTCCTCCTCTTTGCAAGTCTCATTTCAGCAAGTCTCATTTCAGCAAGCTTCATTTCAGCAAGTCTCATTTCAGCAAGCTTCATTTCAGCAAGTCTCATTTCAGCAAGCTTCATTTCAGCACGCTTCATTTCAGTGTTGACGGCAAGTGTGGTAGCACAAGATGTGTTAGGCGCGGATAGATACAGAGGGGAGACAGAGAAAGAGAGGAGATCAGAGGTCCAAGATGACCCGACGAAGCCTGCGGAATGCTTCGGCGGTGTCCTCCTCGCCAATGAGGCTAAAGCTGACGCGAACATAGGTGGACGTGCCTCCTGAGGAAGCCAAAAAGGCCACACCCGGCACGGCCAAGACACCGGCGCGTCTGGCCTGCGTGGAGATCAGGGCAAAGCTGTCTCCCTCGGCCGTGTTTGCGTTCAGCGGCAGGAGCAGGCGCAACCAGAGGAACATGCCACCGCCGGGCGACGTCCATTCGGCGACGGGCGGCTCGGCGCGGAGAATCTCGTGGGCAATGCGTTCGAATGCGTCGCGGCGCCGACGATAGAAGTCGGCTGTTCGTGCGGCATGCTGCAGGAAGCCACGATGGCCCATCTGCTCCAGCACGGCGATGGCGACGCATTGCGACACGCCACTGACCTGCAGGTGGCTGGTGGCCGTGTACTTGTTGATCGCGTCCACCAACACAGAGGGACCCGCGACGAAGCCGATGCGAAGGCCCGCCGACATGACTTTCGAAAGACTCTCGAAGCGAAGCACGCGGCCCTGGTCGTGGTCTGAATCCTGCCCATCGAGCGCAAACAGGCTCGGCGTAGCCTCCTCAAAGGAGAGGTGGTAGTATGGGTCGTCTTCAAAGAGGAGAAAGTCGTACTTTCTCGCCAGTCGCAGCAATGCACGCTTGCGGTCCAGGCTCGTCGACGTGCCTGTTGGATTGGATGCTGTCGGGACCATGTACAGCAACTTGGGCCGTGCCAGCGATGACGTCTTCTCGTCGACATCCCACCGTGCCAGCATGCGCTCGAGGGCATCCGCGCGGATCCCCGCCTCGTCCGACTCCACTGCGACCGTATTGACTTGCCCCACGCACAGGGCCGGCAGTACGCCCGGGTAGGTTGGTGACTGGAGCAGGGCGGTGTCTCCGCTGTCGAGGATGACTTCAAACGCCTTGACGATGAGATCCTGGCTGCCGTTTCCCACCGCGAGCTGCCATGGCTTTGTGCTGTCACTACTCTGCGCAGGGAGTGGTCTACCATGGAGGGAGCTGGTCAACTGCGCCAGCCAGTCGACGAGGGCGGGCGTGCCAGCCGTCGGACCGTACTGCAGCGCTTTCTGTAGCCTGTCGCCCGTCACGGCAACGACGACGGGCGACGAAGCGTCGTCGGGTAAGCGCACCTTGACGGCAATCTCCTCGATGGGAAACGTGGCCGGGTTGGGCTTGCCTGCGAGCAGCGAGATCATGCCTGGCTCCTGCTCCAGCGGAAGGAGGCTGCGAATGGCCGACGCCGGTCGTCGCTGTGCATTGCGCGACAGAAAGGCAGAGAGGGGCCTTGGCTGGCAGGCAGTCACTGGCACTCGCCAGGCAGAGCCTCGGACGTAGTCGTTCATCCTCGGCTGCTGCTGCGAGCTGCTTGGCATGTGGGTGACCGTCGTGCTTTGCGTCATAGTAGCCATTTTTGGGGATTGCTGTTTGAGGTCTCGACTGCCCTACATCAATTTATACCGTCACGGTGACCCCCACGCTCGCTGACCCTTGGCGTGGTCGCGCCCGACAGCCTGGACGCGCGATCGGCCCTTCCGCACGTGCAGTTCCGGCCGCTCCTTCGCCTATCTCTGTCAACCCTCTGCCGCGATCCTGATCTTTTTCGACCTTGCGCCCACGCCTGTTCCTGATTCATAACCTGCAACCCGCTCTTGCATGGCAGCCTCCTCCGTACAACAAACGGCGGACGTCGTGTCTGGGTCGTCCAATGGGGCCACTCCGGGCGCGCGCAAGCCGCGAACCGCACGCGCTTGCAACTGCTGCCGGCAGCGACGTGCCAAGTGCGACGGCAAATTTCCCCTGTGCGCACGATGCGACAGGCTCAAGATCCGATGTAGGTGGCCAGACGAGTATGCGCAGCTGCAGGAGGAGGAGCAGCGACGGAGGCAGGAGGACGCCGATCGGATTCGTTGGCTCGAGAGTGGCCTGTCGCACTTGCTCGAACAGATCTCCCCCACGACGAGCTATCCCGCCTCTACCCTTGCTGCGGGGCGTGGCGACAACCAGGACGATCAGGGAGGGCCGCGGCCACGGCAGCGACGGCGGCTGTCTCCTGCGACTGCGCAAGAGGGCAATGACCAAAGAGGCACACGGTCGGATGCCGTGCCAGCGTACTCTGCGCTCATGGACGGCCAGGACTCATCAAGTGCATCGCAAGTTGGTCAAGGGAACGGTTCACTTCGATTCGAGGGCGTTTTGTCTCGCGCCTTTGCCAGTGGTGCCAGCAGGGCCCTCTTTGGTCCAGTCACTACGTCACAGCAAGATGCACAGGGCAACAGCAACGCCTATCGTATCCAGCAGATCACCATCGCCAAAGTTCACGAGGATCTGTTCGGAGATCGAAATGCAGAAGAGTCTTGCGATATCATGTCCACGAGAAGGCCACCACCGACGGTGCCGCGTGCCTTTGAGGCCGCACTCGCCACGAATCTACGCTCGTATCAGGGCAGGCAGACGAGTTCCTCGACCGATGCTTCTTCTCGGCGAGAGGCGAGCGTCGAGGGCTCGCCCCTCTGCGACCAGTTCGAACCCGGCTCGATGATGCCCCTCGTCATTGCCTTTTCCCACGAGATGGCGTTCTTGCCCCTGGTGGAGCCCGACGAGCTCTGCCACTGGATCGACGCCGTGTTTGAGATCGAAGAGACGCTGGGCCAGAGCGCAGTCACCCATCTCCTCTCGCAGGGCGGGCAAGCCGAGGAAAAACTCGGCCACATTGTGTTTATGGTCTACTTTGCCATGGCGGTGGCCAATGCCCTCCTCGACGAGGAGCTCTCGTCCTCGTTTGAGCGGCAGCTGGGTGATTTGCGGAGAGCGATGCTGCCCCGAGAAGCGATCTCCGATGGCCCCCTCTCGCTCGCCACCCTGCAACGCATGCTCCTGGCCAGTCTCTACTCCCTCTTGTCGCCGCCGGGAACCGCGGACGAGGACCCGCTGCACCTCATCGAGGAGGCACTGACGGTGGCCAGGCGTCTGGGCATCGACCGAGAGGCCACGTGCCGGCAGTCAGCGTCGCCCGACATGGCGCGAAGGATGTTCTGGGCCGTCTATGCGCTCGAGCGGCGGATGACGTTGAATCTGGGCCTGGCGTCGGACGCTGTCGACGTGCGACTGGCGTCTTCTGCCCTCTTTGAAGATCCTCTCCCTGCCCTGCCCTATCGTGGTCGCAGTGCAGGCTTGCACCTTGCCTTGCCTGCCGACCTGCCCGATGGCCAATGGCGGGGCGGCGAGGAGGAGGCCGACCTGCCCGATGGCCAGTGGCGGGGCGGCGAGGAGGAGGTAGACCGGCCCTTTGTCGCGGCGGCAATGAGCAACGCGGCCTCGTCGCCTGGCACCTTTACCGCACGAGAGTGGCTACCCGACAGCGAACACGTCCGACGGAACCTTGGCTGGGACCGGGACCTGTGTCCGGCCATGATCCATCTGCGGGCGTGGCTGACACAGGCGCAGGAAGCGGCGCAGGCGAGCTACGCGTCTCCCCTGGCAGCTCGCTCGCGCTTCGACGACCTGCGATGTCGCCTCGATCTGTGGAGAGTCGAGCTACGGACGCAGACGTGGAGACTGACACCCCGGCAGCAGGTCATGGTCGAACTCGAGTACCTGGAACACATTCTCTACGTCTGCACGATTGCGGCGGCCATTCCCGATGCTGCCGGATCCTCGACTACCCTGCTGCTCCACTTCAGCAGTGCGACCATACGCATGGTGGGCCGTCTGCGTCTCCAGTCGGCCAGTCTCAACGCCATCATGGTACGGCAGACGGGCAAGGCCGTCTGCCTGCTGGTGTGGGCGCACCGGCAGCTCTGCACTTCCTCTGCCGCTGCTCCGTCCATGACCTGGATCGCCGTCATTTCGGACCTGGAGTGTGCCCGGCGGACCTTTGGGGCGGCCGAGGGGAGCAATGCGCCCGTGGGTAAGACGTGGGCGGCCGTCGTCGACCAGATCGTGCGCATCGTCGTCGATGGGGTGCCCCAGCGCCATGCCAAGTACTGCAAGCGAGCGCTCATCGCCGCCCGCGGGGCGCGCCCCGAGATGGAGCCCGAGAGTCTTACTTAGTGTCACGAATTCCGTAGTGTCTTTCCCAATGTCATGCCTAGCTGTCCTAGCTGTCCTCGCTTCCCTAGCTGTCCTAGGGTCCTGGCTGTCCTAGGGTCCTAGCTGTCCTAGTTGTCCTAGCTGTCCAGACCTGTCACGCACAGCGTCATCGTCATTGTAATTCGTCACCTAGCCCCTCGATGGGTGTGCGTGCCTGACGGGGAGCAGGATTCGCTCAATCTTGCGTACCTGCATGTCCCTTGACTTGCGATATGAGTTTCATTTCTTGGCTCGAGGTCGAGATCCATGCACGACCGGACCACGCGTGGGCCCGGCTTAGCCGCGTCGACATTATCGCTTATCGCAGGTGTCAGTCCCCACGGTCAATTTGTGGCTTATCTCTCCGTGTCGCCACCACAAGGATGGGCATTGCCCTTCCCTCTTGGTCGACGTCGACCCCCTGATGGCAACATGTATAAGAAGAGGCTCCAGCTGCCGTCTCTCCACCGACCAATCACTCGCAAGATGTCCCCCTCTGAACTACCTTCGCAAACGATCCAAGAGACGGACTCGACCAAGTCGCTGGGCGACGAGATGCCAGGCAAGCACCAGCTCCACCTCGTCGACTACCTCGACACCAGCGAGGGCGGCGGTCAGGCCAAGCGGGCGGCCGTCGAGCGCCGGCTCGTCCGCAAGCTCGACACCGTCATGCTGCCCCTCTTCTGCCTCCTCAACTTCTTCAGCTACGTCGGCCGCGCCAACTTGGGCAATGCCAAGACGGACGGTCTGGAGAAGGACGTCGGCCTCCACGGCCAGGACTACAGCAACATCATCACCGCTTTCTATATTGTCTTTGGGTTCTGCTCGTCCTTTCTGTGCGTCACCACCAAGAAGTTCGGTCCCCGGCGCATGATTCCCATCTATGTCTTTGGCTGGGGTCTGATGGGCACCTGCTCGGCCTTTGCCAAGAACTTTGGCGGCCTGCTCGTGCTCCGCGTCCTGCTCGGCTTCTTCGAGGCCGGCTTTGGCTCGTCGACGATCCTCTGCCTCAGTCTGGTGTACAAGCGCGACGAGCTGGCGCGCCGCATCGCCATGCCGTACGTCTTTGCGGCCCTGGCAGCGGCCTTTTCCGGCCTGGTCTCCTACGGCGTCTTTCAGATCAACAGCCCCGTCCTGCACGGCTGGCAGATCCTCTTCATCCTCGAAGGGCTCCTGACCATCTCCTGCGCGCCCCTCGCCTACTGCTTCCTGCCCAACAAGCTGGAAACCGTCTGGTGGCTGACGCCAGAAGAGCGCAGTCTTGCCATCGAGAGGATGCAGCAGGACGGCTCCAATGTTGTCGACTCGTCCTTCAGCCTCAAGGACTGCGTCAAGCCCTTTCTGGATGTTCGCACCTACGCCTGGGGGATCATTGCCGTCTCCTACGGCGTCAGCGTGGCGACCATGTCCAACTTTCTCCCGCAGATCATCTCCCGCCTCGGCTATTCGACCGTCACCACCAACCTTCTCACCTGCGGCCCCAGCGTCTGGGGTGCCATTGCCGTCTTTGCCATCAGCACCTCGTCCGACAAGCTGCGGGATCGCTCCGGCCACCTCATCGCCATCATGTGCTTCAACCTCATCGGGTTCAGCATGCTGTATGCCGTCTCGCCGAGCAAGATCTGGACCCTGTACGGCGCCTGCTTCATCGCTGCCACCGGGTCCTGGGTCCCTTCGGTGGTGTTTCACACCTGGCACTGCAACAACCAGCTCGACGAGAACAAGCGTGCGCTCGATGCCGGCATCTTTACCATGTGCGCCAACGGAGCGGGCATCATCACCGCGCAGACCTTCCGCGCCGTCGAGAAGCCCCTCTACCGGACGAACCTGATCGCCACGTTCAGCTTTGCCTCGATCTGCATTGCCGTCACCGTGGGCGTGCGGGCGTGGATGACCATCGACAACCGGCGTCGTGATCGCCAGGAGGGCGTCCCGCGCAAGAGCTGGTCGGTCGACTCCAACGAGCTCGTGGATGGCGAAAAGGACGTGCGATGGCGATGGCAGTACTAGGGTGATCTTTTCCCCTCGCCCTGTTTCGAGTATGATCATCCCCTCGCCCTGTTTCGTGTACGATGTATGATCATTTTGTTGGATATGCCAGTCATGAATGTACAGAATGTCCTCCGAGCAAGATCCCAAGCTGGACCACCTCATTGATGAGCTTTTCTCGACTTTGAGGGCAGACCTGCAAAGCGCCTAGTTGATCACTCCTACTAAGCGGCTGCGCTTTCGATCTCCAGGACCCATGCATCGCTGAGCCGCTCGTTTTGCTCGTTGAGACCCCCGTGAAGGACAACACGGACTCCGCTCCGACCGTCATCCAGCGCCTGGCAGTCGAAGGCAAACCATCCGCGAGCTTCCGGAAGAGTTTGCCTCGGAAGAGCGGATCGTGCGACGTCATTCAATGGACGCCAGCGGTAGCCCTGCTCTGACTGCAAGAGGATGTAGTAGTCGGAAAGAAACTGGCCGTTGCTTTGTCAGCAAGAAGGGACACGACTTCGCACCTAGGACGCACCTTGCCCGCTCCATCATGGCCAAGCTGTGCAGGCGCGCCCTCTCCTTCGCCCATGAAGAGCAGGGCGACAGCTCGGCTGTTGTTGACCCTCAGAGGCGGTGTGATGGGGACGAAGCCGTGGACAGAGCGCTTCCGGGGATCCGCTTCTCCGCCCTCGACGGAGGCACTGTGCGACGTCCATTCGCCCTGGACAGGATCGAAGATGTCGAGAGGGCCGCCCAGCTCGTTTCTTTGGCCGACCGAGATTGAGCGAGCCGACAGGACTTCAGATCCCATGCACTCACCCACAGAAGCCGCCCCATCTTGCGAGGACCAGCCGACCGTCGTCGCGGTGCGAGGGGATCGCGGTGAGGACTGTGCCGCCGCGGGCAGGCCCGGGCGCGGGCGGCTGCGCGCTCCAAGCGGCCGATTTGCAGTCGAGCGATTCCAGCGAAGCCAGTCGGCCTGAACATTGACGAGTCAGTGAGCTTGCAGCAAGGACGCGCTCTACTCCATTCGCACCTGCAGCAGTGCAACCTGCATGCACGTATAGGTGATTCTCGAGCATGGCCATCGTGTGGAAAGAGCGGCCTTCAGGGAATGCACCCTTGGAGACCGTCTTCTCCCACGACTCTTTTTTCGTGTCAAAGCGCCAGAGGTCGTCCACTGCGTCTGCGTCTTCGTCTGCCGATGAACGCGTCGCAATCGCCGACATGTCCTTGCCGCCCCTGCCTCCCCAGAGATAGAAACAGGCGTTGCTTCGGTCCACGGCCATGGCGGCGCCGACACGCGGTGCTGGGCCGCCATGCACTGTCTTTAGGACTTTGTGATTGCCTGTGTGCAGCAATTTCAGCGCTTGTAGCAGTGATCAGTGGACATACGCACCGCCATCGAGATCGAGCACGAGCACGTCGCTGTCGACAGGCACCCTGGGCTTGCGCTCCCCGCCGCTGTGCGGATATCAGCTCAATCCAGTCCTGTGCCTACCAGCATGCTCAATCAAGTCCTGTGCGTACCAGCATGCTCACAAAAGGTATGCTCGGCGCCCAATGAGCGCCAGGCTGTGCGATGAGCGGTGCAGCAGCTCCGCAGGAAGCGTTTCCAGGCTGAGCCTTTTCCAAGTGCACGTCAGCGATGGCATGATCGTCACCCGCTCGTGCTCCGGCCGGCATGACCTCCACCCGTGAGTGTGGACTGTGAAACTGGCACGTGGTCGACTTTCAGATCGCATGGCATCAATGTCTTGCGATAAGATTACGCTGCAGCAGCTTGCCGATGTATGAAGATCCGCGCATGGCCACGACAGAGCCCGACATCCCGCTGCGCCCGGTCGGCTCCGACGACGAGGCCGAGACGGAGCGCGACGAGCTCGATCTCCGTGCGCTCGTCCTCCTGGCGCTGCAGCAGGCGAGCAGTTCGTTCAGCTTCCGCACTGCCGAGTTCGCCTACCCGCTCTACTTTGTCGCCCTCTACCCAGACTCGCTCCTGCCGGCGTCGCTGTATGGCTTTGTGACGACGGCCGCCGCCATCGTGCTCAGCAGCACCGTCGGCCACCTCGTCGACCGCTTTGCCACGCACCGGCTCGCGCTCGTGCGGTGCTTTGTGCTTGCGCAAAAGGCTTTTGTGTGCGGCACCTATGCCCTCTTTCTCCCCCTCTTCCGCCACTGGCACAAGCAGCATCAAGATGCCGCCTTCTGGCCGCTCTTTGTTGCCATCACCGCGCTGGGCTGCGCGCTGATCCTTGCCAACGTCGGCGTCTCCGTCGTCACTGAGCGCGACTGGATCACGAGCATCGCCGAGGGCTCTCCGCGCCGCCTGACGCGGCTGAACGCGATCATGTGAGTGTTCCCCAGCACGAGGCGCTGCTACCACTGACAAGCAGACCAGGCGCCGCATCGACCTCCTCTCCAAGCTGCTTGCGCCCCTCTTTGTCTCGCTGCTCACGAGCCAGATCGGCTACCCGCTTTCGTGCGTCGTCCTGCTCGCGACGAGTGCGGCCACCACGCTGTTCGAGTTCTTTTCCCTCGGCGTCGTCTTCCGCCGGTTTGCCGTGCTGGCGCTCGAGCAGCAGCGCGCGCGCGAACAGCGTCCGTCGGCGCCTGCGCGAGCTCCCTTCTCGGTCAAGTCGGTACGGCGATGGCTCGCCGCCCAGTACCACGACTGGCGCACCTTTTCCGCGATGCCCGTCTTCATCAGCTCCCTCTCCATCTCGCTGCTGTACATGTCCGTGCTCAGCTTCGACGCCAGCTTTGTCGCGTACCTCAAGAGCGAGACGACGTACTCGGACCCGTTCATTGCCGGCATGCGTGGCGCGTGCGTCGTTGCCGGCCTCGTGGGCACCTTTGTCTCGCCGCTGCTCACGCAGCGCATCGGCCTCGTGCGCACGGGCTCCTGGTCGCTCTGGATGGAGCTGCTGCCGCTCACGCCGGTCCTGGCTGCCTTTTACTGCGGCACGGCGTCGCCCTCGCGGCCGTGGTGGAACGGGCTGATGCTCTTTGGCGGCCTTGCCCTCTCGCGCATCGGCCTCTGGTCCTTTGACCTTGCCCAGCTCGCGCAGGTGCAGCTGGCGCTTGCCGGGCTTCCCCAGCGCAAGAATGCGCTCATGGCGCTCCAGTTCTCGCTCCAGAGCATCCTCGACATGGCGCACCACGCCCTCACGCTCGGCTGGAACAAGCCCGCGCAGTTTGCCAACGCCGCCGCCACGTCCTACGCGGCCATTGCGCTTGCGACGTTTCTCTATGTTGGTCTCTATGCGCGCCGCGAGCGCGGGCACCTGCTCCACCTCGACGCCCTCGCCGCCTCGCTCCTGCGGCAGCGGAAGCCCGCCTAGCCTCAGCGTTGCCGTGTCACAGCACTCCCCTGTCACAGCAACCCCCTGTCCCATGCTTGTACAAGGCAGCGCTTCGATGAGTGCGTTGCCGCCTCGACGTGCAGTACGGTCAGCGCAGCCTGCCAAGCAAGAGCGAAGTCTAGCCTCCTTTGCGGGATCCTTGCAAGGCTACACCAAAATCATGGCGGTCATTTCATTCCCGTCTTTTGCTTAGCTGGAGGATGAGAAAGAAGGAGCACATTGTATGGTTGCTTTGCGTACGCTTGGAGCCAAAAGCGGTAAAAGGACGTGAATGAAACTCCTTGTAGCAGATAGACGAGCTTGCGGTTCACACTGATATCTCGGACGGTGCTGCTCACAAGGAACATATGGTGCCAGGCTCGGGCTGATCGTCCCGCAATCTGCCTACCTGCCAACGCTCTGTCTACTAGTTCACTGCTCACTGCTCACTGCTCACTGCACGCTCACCGCGCTTATCCCATGCCCACCAGCGAATGTTGGCTTCAAATTGAAGCAATTTTACTATCCGAAATCACGTTCTCTTGCAATACCGGCAAACACTTCAGCGGCGGCAGTCGCAAAACAGCAAGTTTCACGCGATCTAGTCTCGAACTTGTTCCGCGCATTACTGTTACATGCTGTGGAGGCTCGGTGTGGCTCACCCAACGTTGCTACTGCGTTGGAGACTTCCGGCGTTAGGAAAGTCCATATAAATTGCGAGAGCAGTCGTCTCCACAGCTTCAACGCTTTCTGCCTACTCCCTTCGACCGACAGGTGGCGATCGACCATGTCCCTCACCGATACTTTCGCAAACGTTTTCACACCCACTCATCACGACGTGTACGACTTTATTGATCCGTCCAATGCGCTGAAGGGCAGCGCCAAAGGTCGCAAAGTTCTCATCACCGGCGCCGGCACTGGGATCGGACGAGGCATTGCCCTCTCTTTTGCCAGGGCCGGAGCCGAGTCTTTGGTCCTCGTGGCTCGTAGACGCGAGCCCTTGGAGGAGACCAGGTCGATGATCCAGTCTTCGTTTGGAGAACAAACAGAGGTACTTGTCTGCTCCGGCGTGGACATCTCCGATCCCTCTGCGGTAGATGAGCTCTTTGCCTCGGACGCGCTGAGATCAAGGCCTGCCGATGTACTCGTGTCAAACGCGGGTGTGGCACTTTCCAGGGCACCAGTACAGGACTCGGATCCGTCGCTGTGGTGGTCGGACTTTGAGATCAACACAAAGGGCCCCTATCTGCTGTGCCGGGCCTTCTTGCGCGCACGAAGAGCGGCAATGATGTCGTCATCGTCATCCCTACAGGCTCACTCATTCGATCGATCAGGCCGGCCAGGCTATATTATCAACGTAACAACGAATACCACGCGGTACCAGGCAAACATGTCTTCCTACTCGGGTAGCAAAAACGGGCTCAACATCCTCACAGAGGCCATCGAGGCCGAGCAGAAAGGGGATGTGCACGCCTATGCACTCCATCCCGGCGGCGTTGCTGGCACCGGCTTAACAGGCGAGAATATCAAGCTCCCCCCGAAGATCGCAGCGCTTATGGTCGATAAGCCGGAGTTGGCAGGAGCTACATGCGTGTGGCTCTGCACGGAGAAAGCGCACACGCTCGGCGGACGCTACCTGAGCGCCACATGGGACATGCAAAAGGTTCTGTCGCTGAGTGATTCACTCGAAGACGATTCGCTCAAGACCAGGGTCAGCGGCGTGACCTGGGCGATGTAGCTTGCTTCAGCCACGTGCCTTGGGTGCTGTGGTCCCCGCATGATGCGGCGACGGCGAAAATTCTATCGCTCCCCATTGTTCGGACGACGAAGAAGAGCAAGAGATGAGATGTGGTCCGAGCGCAAGACTAGGCGTGTCGAAAAGTCGAAGCGGTCGGATTCCGTCTAACTGAACCCACACATCCATCATGAAGCTGGCAGAAACGTATCACATCGCCTTCTACCGGGACGATGCCGATGGCCTGCCAGCGATTGGTGCCGTCCTTGCGCCGTCATTCGAGGATCTCTACAGGACGATGTGCGACATCAAAGGCGTGCATTTCGAGGTGACAGTGACCTCCCACTTCCAAGGCGATCCGGTCTCCGGTCAGGCAGACGGTAAAGCGACGGGATTTGTCGGCACAGTGCGAGTCGCAGACCTACCGGACGATTGCAAAGCCAAGGTGTGGCATCGCGGGCTACTCCAACTGTTGATGCGACCGGTGCCAACAGCGCTCGAGCAAGGAAAAACGCCCGCGTTTCCTCATGTCTCAAACAGACAGATTCAGGTTGTTGCCTTTGCCACGTCGAAAGAGGTGGACCTGACTGATCTGAAGCAGTGGTGGCAGCGTAGGTCCGAGGATCCCGACGACGTCGAAGAACTGCTTTGCATACCGTGGAAGAAGGAAAGGGCGGATTGGCAGCCCATCGACTACGCCTACGAATGGTCAGACTATGTCTATCGACTTGGCTCCCCCCGGACGAGCGATCTCAACCTCTATTCCTTTTTGCTGGTGGAGGAGGGCAGCGCTGCACCTGAAGATCGTGTAGTCAAAGTGGTTGTACCCTGGCGACAAAGCCTGGTCACCTTTGACCCGATTCGCACGTTCAGAGCACGTCTCCCACGGGCTCATGCGATCATCTCTGCCATGGGAGGCTTGCAAAATCCGCGACAATGGCAGCCCGAAGCAGACGAGCAGCTCTTTGACAATCCAGACACAGTAGTGCAGTGATCACTCACGACCGCATGGACCAGCGCACGCCACAACGACTCTCGTCGCGCTCATACAAACTGCCAGGCGCGCAGTCTTCGTTTCCTTCGACCAGACGGATCCTCCTCCGTCTCGTTCCCTACGGTGAACAGCTTTTGTATCCTCAGTCTGTATAGTAGATGGAAACACTTGAAGGTTGAACTCATTTTCGCGCCAATTCCTCGCGACCATTTCGACCAGCTGCCTGAACATGAGGTCTGCTGCAAGTCTCCCCATCAGCTTCAAAACTACCGCAAGGCCTGGGAGAAGGCCTCTGTAGTACGGCTTCTTTGTGTCAACCGCCACGAGCGCCAGGCGACAGCACTCTCTACACACCCTACGAGCTGATGGCACCCCGGCGTGCGATGGATGCCAAAATAAGCCCACGATTTCGAACAGAGAAGTGGAGGCGATTTTGTTTTTCGACGCGTCCGAGGCAATCTCATCGCTCGTCTGGCACTCAGCCTTGGATGAAGGACCATGCTGGCTGCGCTGTGCGTCGCTCTCGAATAGATCTTGCACCTCGCTGATTTTTTTGCTGGTCACAGCATGCTAAAAGGGAGCGACATCGGACGGGGGTGCCGGATGCAGCGCAAAGAGGGGGGCAAAGGTGCCTGGCGCGGCTGACGGGTGATCCGTATCGCTGGCGTGGTGCTCGCTGACGAATTGCTCACAGACGAGGAGCTCACAGACGAGGCGCTCACAGACGAGGGGCCCACAGACGAGGCGACCTACAGAGCCTTGAGGGAGGTTGGAAGCAAAACGAGCCAGTGGACGGCCCGCTGCCTCGGCGGTTCGACTCTCCGCAGGACTGTCGGCGTTGCGCCAAGAGCAAGGTCGCGGCCCCACTCGACGTCGACGACCTGGGCACGGCGCGAGCAAGGCCTTCCAAGCTCAGTGCCATGCAGAGAAAGGTTCAGAAGCCGATGCACGAGGGCCTTCCTGATCCACAGCGACAGAGGCTACAGTGAAAGAGGGACGGGCAACCACGCTATACTACCCTGCGAGGTAGGCTGATGTGCACGCCACCCGAGGGCTCTCCCTGAGAGTGGCACCGTGCTCGGCCGTCGGACGACCTCGAGGCGTGCGCTGCGCGGTGTTGCGTCTCCCGGGTCTCAGCGTGCCCGAGAGACGAGCCCCGACTGGATGGCGACCGAGGTCTGCGCAGTGAGGGCGACAGTCAGCGCCCGCTGTCTCTCCAGGGATGATCAGGACAGAGTTGTGCATACGTCTCAAGAGCGGGACACATTGCACTGTCGTCGCATGAGGCCATCATAGAAGAATGCGATTGAAGACCTATATGAAGAGAAAGGAGAGCGGTCTATGTACAACGAGGCCCTGCCGGCAGGGACTCAGGGGGAGGGCGACCTCGACGCGAAGAAGTCGACGTCGTCGAAGACCTGTGCTGCTGCTACTTCTGCTGCGGATGCTCCCGCTGCTGCTTCGATGGCCTGGCGAAGGGCCACCGCTACCGCCTCGTCGAGCTGGGGAAGCTCCTCGCGAATCCGCGCACGCTCGTCGTCGATCCGCGCACGCTCCTCGCGGATCTGCGCAAGCTCCTCCTCGATGAGCGCAATCCGCTGTCTCAGCAGCGCCTCTTCGACGACGCGCTCTCGGCGCTCGAGTGCCTCGGCGTAGAGATCGTTGAGATGCTCGAGCTCTTCGACCTCGTGACCTTCCTGCGCGGGCGCCACGGCGACCGCGTCGCCGCCGACGGCTTCAATGGCTGCGCGAAGGGAGCCGATCGCCGCGAGGAGAGTCGCACGGGGGTCTTCAGGGATTGCTCAGCGTCTGCCATTGCATGCCCAGCGTCTGTTCTCACCTGCCATCGTCGTATGCTGCGCGTAGTCCATCGTCTATATAAGTCACGACGTCGCTTCTGATTCGTCGCGTCCGTTCGCAGACTGTCTTTGCACCCTTGTCCTCTCCGCCTTTGTTCTCGGAAGAAAGCGGAGAGACGAGACGTGGCTGTGTTTCGCGGACTTCTCTCCATCACACCATGTCGTCCAACGAGCAGCACGCCAAGATGGACAAATCCACGCAGACCGACGACGAAAAGGACACCGGGCTTGCTGGGCTGTGCGCCAGATGCGAGAACTTGGTGCTCGAGGGGAACTGCGCACTGCGCAAAGAGCCCGTGAGTAAGGCCCTGCTGGCGCTGACGTCCTGCTGACGCCTGCGAAGGCCCCCTCTTCGCGACCCTCTTCTATTGGCCCTCCCTCTGCCAAGCGGCAGAGGACCACTCCGGCCAGGGACGTGTGGGCGCTCGATGGCCCCATACCCGTGACCGGCAACGTGCGGCCGGACACGCCACCACCGTTCTTTGAGAAGGCGCCAAAGCGCGAGCCTCAAGCGCTCACGCTGGAGAGGCTCGAGGCGCTCAAAGACACGGTGGTGAAGCTCCCGAAGCCCAAAAACTTCGTGGAGAAGCCGCCCTCGGCCCTGGCGCGGGCTTTGACCAGTAGGTTCCCCCCCTCCATCCCGGCTCAGTTACGTGAGCTCATTGCCATGCAGAGTGGGAAGACATAAGACCGGCCCCCTACGACTGATGTGGCGAGATTGCCACGATTTGCGACAAGGCGACGACAACGAGCAGTAGGCTCCTCACTATCAATGCATCCTTCTGCCTGCGGGCCTTTCAAGTGGAGAGTGATTGGTCTGAGCTTCGCCCAAGTCTGCGCAGAGTCGCCTGCAGCAGAGCATGAGATTGGGACTGTTCTTCCAAAGGAAGGCGCTGCATTCACTTCTCTCGTCGCACATACAACGAATCAGACCATACCGAATCAGACCACTGTACTGCTGTATGAGGATTAACATTAAGAGAGTGCTACATACAGCGAGGCCCTGCCAGCGGCCTCGCTGTCTGGCGTCGTGCGGCCGACGACTAGGACTGTCTGGCGTGGTCGCGGGCCTCTGCTGCTGCTCTAATTGCTGCTGCTGTTGCTGGTGATGCTGCTTCGATGAATTGAAAATAGACCTCGGTCTGCGCGCAAAGCTGCGCGTTCCTCTCCTGTATCTGCGCAGCTTTCTTCCGAAGCTGCTCAGTCTCTTGCGAAATCCGCTCAGCCTCCTCCTCAAGCAGCGCACACTGGCGCGCAACGGCAGCGATGTAGATATCGCTGAGACTCTTGAGCTCTTCGAGTTCGTGGCCTTCCTGCGCGATTGCGACGGTCCCCGCGTCGCCGCCGACGGCTTCAATGTCTGCGCGAACGGAGCGGATCTCCTCGAGGACATTCGTGCGGAATTCTTGATGGATCGCTCAGCGTCTGCCATTGCATGCTAAACGTCTGCCATCGTGTGCTCACCGTCTGCCGTCATGTCTTCACCGTCTACCATCGTATGCTGAGCGTCTGCCATCGTGGATGTGATTCAAAACGTCGCTTTTGATTCGTCGCGTCCGCTGTTCGCAGACTGTCTTTGTGCTTTTGTTCTTCGCCGCCTTTGTTCTCGGGAGAAAGCGGGGACTTGAGACACAGTTGCATCATTCGTGGCTGTGCCTCGCAGCCTTCTCTTCATAACACCATCTGCCATGCCGTCCAGCAAGCAGCGCACGAGGATAGACAGGCTCGCGCCGACCAACGACGACAAGGATAGGGTTACAAGGGGGTTCCACCTGACCCTAACCTTGGCCCGATTAGGGCCTTAGGGTTACTACGGACGGCCCAGATGAAGCGACCGGGGTTATACAACGAGACGTACTTCATCGGAAAGTGTGAATCGAGGGCTACCTGGTCTATTAGAGCGAAAAAACAAGGGGTTGGTGCGTTGTAGGAGCTGTCCTAGGAGCAAAAATGTAAAAATCACCTATGTCTGAGTGAGGTGCGTGAAAAAAGAGTAACCCTTGGAGAGCTTTTTTGACGGCTAGCTAGAGCAAACCGAGACGATTCCATTGCTACAAAAATCGTGGCTCTAGCATGCCTGATGGCTGAGAACAAGGCAAATGACCTATTTTTGAAGGATAAGCATGTCACTGACAAAAAATCCAAAAGTTGAGGATGGCGTAGTGGTGGAGCAACGCGTCCTTATCTATCTGCACGTGCAGAAATCTGAAAAACCTGGGTCTGGCCTGGCCCCACACCACGATCTCAATCAGCACATCAGCATCAGTGCATCAACATGGAAGAAGAGCTTGATGTGGACCGCTGGTGCACCACCATGTACCCCCACCTTAGGGTTAGGGTTAGGGTTAGGGTTAGGGTTAGGGTTAGGGTTAGGGTTAGGGTTAGGGTTAGGGTTAGGGTTAGGGTTAGGGTTAGGGTTAGG